TTAACTGATTTAAGTTGATTATATAGCGAGCTGGCAAACATTGTGAGTGTAGAAAATATATAATAATTAATGAAAGAAGTTTAAACACACCATAATCATTTATATATAATGAATTAGTACAATATTTTACACTTTATACATTGCATGGTAAGATACATGAGTGACTAAGTACCACATAGAGTTCCTATGAGGTTCAAAATTTTCACTATCTTCATCATCACTATGTGTAGAGTAAATGTATTGTGAAGAGTAGTTAGCAACCATGGCAATGGCTTTCAAGAACCGAAACCCAAAAGTCAATAGGAAACCGAATACTTCGGTATTTTTCGGGATTTCAGGATTACCAAACAAATGGGATTTGGGAAACCAATCCCATATCGAAAATTTCGGTATTTTTCGGGATGGTTTTGGTTTGGGACTTTTTCGGTTTGGTTTGGGATTTTCGGGAATTTTTTCCAACCATACATGTAAGTGACCAAATAAAAAATAGAAAAATTAAAAACCACATGCCATTGACTAAGTAATTAATTGACACAATTTAAAATATAATACCACAAAAAATTTGGAATATGTGCAAATTTGTTTCTTGCAAAAAGAATTCAAAACAAAACCATATATATAAATAGTTTAGCATGTTTTCACAAAAACGTAAGTGGTATAGTGGTCAAGTCGCTGAAGGAGTTAGATGGGAGGGGTTCGCATCCCTTTATGTGCATGTTTGAGACTTTTCAGAAATTTTCAAATATTTTTAGGTTCATCTCGCGATATTATATAATATCGCGATATTATCGCGATATATTAACGATAATTAAAAAAATACTCACGAAATATTTTTATATGAAAAAAACGATAATATCGGCGAAATATCGCCGATATTATCGATTTTTAAATCTATGGTAATAACCATATCGCATTTATTAAAGTCACTCACTGAGATAAGTTAGCAAAGCCTTACTGAGTCTCTAGTAATACTAATTTTAGTAATTCAAATGATTCAAGACCTATTGACCAAAAGTCAACTCTCAGTTAACGGTGGAGTTCACACCCTAGTAATTTAATTCGAAAGATCTGCACATCGTATTTCAGACCCGTAACTCCCTAGGATGCACATTAAGCTCCTAGAACAATGTACTAAAATCTCATCACGATCAGACGGTCGAATCTCTGCCAATCACTAATTCAAGTGACGGTTAACAATTAGTTTTACAAACTTAAAAATCCAATTTGGGAAGATCCGTACGTCGGATTCCCAATCTGTGAGTTCCTACCATCCTCAAATATTATGTAATATTACATATTTAAGTTTGGTGCTGATCAACGGTCGGGGTCAACCCGTAGCGGCCAACTAAGCAGTTAACTATGAAACTATATTAAAACATCAGAATTTCACTAGACAAATGTCAAATAAAGAATCAGGGTATCACAATTAGCCTAGGATGGTCAGGTGGGGTCTCGGCCCACGTGCTGCTGCATGCGGCAGCCGATCGACTCGATTCACTGGAAAATCCAACTAATTCCAAAAACTACCAAAATTCACAAAATTGTAGATCTCAATTATTAGAGCAAGTTTCATACATGTGATCAAGGCCAATTTGGCCGGGAAAAGCCCCAATTTCACTCAAACCCGCCGAAAACCCTTGAGTTTGGTTGTTCTTGATTCGACTCCAAAACAGCTTTGACGCCCCGACCAATGTGCGTGATTTGTTCTTGAGGTTGATGTGAGTCTATTGGTGATGGTGGTTGTCGGAGTTAGCTTTTGGATTGACGGATCGCCACCATGGAACCATCGCACCCACCGGTGCGATTTCACGAATTCAAGGCCAAATTCACCAATTTTTTGGGTGAAATTGGTAAAGGGAAGGTCGTAGAGTGTTTCCAAGGTGGTTTTTTGACGTGATTCACAGGAAAAATCTACGAAAAACCCTCGGAGAAGGCAAAGAAAATCGGGTCGGATTGCGGGTCGAATGGAGGGAACTGGGTCGGCCGGTTCTCCCCTCCCCTCCTTTCCCTCATTTACTCTCTTCCCATTGGATCACCCTTTTCCCCTTTCATTCCTGATTGGTCCTGTCTCTCCTTTTGTATCCCGCATCTCTTCTTTCTCCCATCTCTCTTGTTGCCATCTGGCAGCTTCTAATCTTCTTCTTTCTTTTTTCTTTTATTTTCTTTGTCTTTCTTTCTTTCTTTTCTAATTGGTCCCCTTCCAAATTAATGGGAACCCCAATAATCTTAAATTCATATTTTATTTAAGAAACTTCTAACGTCCGTAACTTCTCCTTCCTCGTCTCGATTCACGAACAGCCTTCGCCTACGCGCTCGTAATGTCAGGCTAAATTAAAAAACATAAAGAGTGACCCTTGAAGGTCTACGGATTATAAATGATTATTTTTCAAAAGTTCAACTTTGTACTTAAGTAATTAAAATATAAAATTAATTTAAATCCTCGAAAAAATAGTATAAAATCTCAATAATACAAATACGTAGATTATAACAATGAAATCTAAGAGCGGGATTTCACAATTACCTCAACTAATTGTCAATGTCTTTGAAATTCCAAATCAAATTTTCAATGGAACGAGCCCCATAGCAAAAAAATTTGTAACTAAATTGGTTAATAGTGGTACCCATATTAGATTTGATTCTGCCAATTATTATTATCTGTTACATTAAAAACAAAGCTGGGTGCAAAAATTGTATAAATATGATTTAATTACAACATATTATTGAATCTCTTATTTTACAAAGAATATACAGAAATCTACCATTTCACAAGCAAAAGCCATCAGATATCCATGGGCCACATTTCTTATTTCTACGTATACAAACCATCGGATATTCCACCTCATCAATAAGATTAAACGAGGCAAATCTTGGTCCACAAAAAACAAAGTAATTACAACCGTAAAATTATGACAACCAGATTACCCTGATTCCGGTGTCTTTGAGCTGTGATCATGGTCGTCCGATCCCAAACCCACATCACTAGAAACTAAACATGAGTTAATACACACTCAATCTAATAAATTTGACAATGTAAATAAAAACAGTAAACCACAAAAAAAAAAAAGCGATGACTTACTGGAATTTGTCCTTAAACCAATCACCCCATGTTGATGTTGTCTCCTTTGCTTCCTTCAAGGCATCCGAAGCAGATTCAGACATGCTCTCGGCCGCACCCTTGGCAGTTTCCATGAAATTGTCATCACCCAACACCGCATGGACTGAAATAAGCAACACCAGTGAGAGAATCAACACGAACGCGATCTTTGCCATTTTTTGTTTTGTTGTTTTTTGTAGTTTCTCTAAGCAAATAGTTAAGAAAACACAATTTATTTATTTAGAACTTAAAATCAGGATTGAAATGGTGTTTTTATTTATAGGCTAAGGGTGACGGATCCTGGGGCCTATATTTGGTCAATGCTTAGGGTGAAAATGATCAGGAATGCTATATATATAGAGTCTAAAATTGAATTGCCGTTGCTATATATAACAGAAAAGGTCCTTTATTAGGAGTAGCATGTAAGAAAACCGATAAGTTCGAGTGTGGTATGGTTAATTTGATTTGTGAACGAATTAAACGAGTGAAAGCGAACCGTATATTCATTGCAAGTAATTTATACGAGATGTTATTTATTCATTAAATTATAAATGTGCATTTACATTTAAATCCTATTAAAACGGTTTAGCTAGGGAGATCGTTTGCTGAGAGAGATTTTTCATTGTGGTAGGAATACGATCTGCTACACCAAATATCATTATATAAGTCGTTGGATACTTGAAATAAAATTTCAACCCCTTGTATTATGACATTTGTGTACTAGACCATGTTCTCGATATACTAAAAAATTTATCTGTGTGGTGCTGATAGCCAGGTAAGATGATACGTGGGTCATACACAAAACATATATATCTTTGGGCCTAGCCCTCTCGGTCCCAACTAATGTGCTCAAATAAGTCCAACTACTTTTCACTTAGCTCCCAAAAATATTTAATTCGTCGCTATTAATCAACTGGGGATGTAGCTCAGATGGTAGAGCGCTCGCTTAGCATGCGAGAGGTACGGGGATCGATACCCCGCATCTCCATTTCCAATTTTTCAGCTTTTTAAACAAAGTATACGACAATAACAACGTTGTCGTTTCTTCGATATCATTTATTTAAAATTTTCAAGCCAAAGATACACGGCCTCGATCGCTTTATCTATTAACTAACAACCAAATCGACGGTGCATGTGCATATTTTCAGACTAGTCGTACGGATAGCGCCAATTGTTCTTATTTCCAAAACCAAAACGATAAATTTTCCCGCCTTTTTTGAACCGATCTGATCGTCTCTCTCTTAAAACGAAACAAGATCGAGTCGACAATTTGGATCAAGCTGCACTATATATTGCATTTCATCTTTGAAATTTCAAGATCGAGTCGGCGAGGTGGATCAAACAACTCTGTGATCATGATCGTCGGTCATCTGAGTCACTTCTTACATCATGCCGGAACAAATTCGATTTAATTTCTCGATCGCATGCGTTTCCGTCTCCAAAGTAGCAGAGGTTAGTGGACAACACTTTGATATTGTTGCCGATCATGCATTTCATTAGTGATATGATTTACATGATCTGTTATTCAGTCCATTTGTTAATTTGAGATTTTGAATCACCTACAATCTGATCGATGAATTGCTTCACCGGTAACATTGTTTGTCGATCTGTTAATTTTTGTTGTTTTAGTTGCCGATTATGCATTTCTTCATTGATATATTTCACTTTAATTTATATAATTTCTTAATCCACTTGTAATTTGCCTATAGTCTGATCGATGAATTGTTTGATCGATGCACTTTATGTTGAATTGATCTGCTAATTTTTCTTAGTCGTTTTGGTTTTTCTTTTATCTTTTTTTTTATAATTGTATTTCATATACAAGCAATGGTAGGGAGATAGATTCAAGACAAAATCTTGTGTGCTAAAATATGATTGCTACAAACTAGTTGATGTTAGATTGCGGTTTTAGTTCATGAAAACAGAAACACATAACATATATTTTCAAGCAGAAAATCATTACAAAAGATAGGAGAGGAAACACATAGGGTTATTGGTCACTGATAAAAGTAACACATTCACACTTAAGTCTTCTGGTCCCTTCCATCAGATCTTCAGATTTTTCATTAGCCTGAATAGATTAGAAGTAATTAGCGGTAGCATATAAGAATTCCATCTTCCAATTAAGCATAAAAAATCTTTGTAGATAATCTCAAACCTCGAAGTTGCATAATCAATTAATTAAGCATCTTTTGAGCCAAAAAATGTGATTATCCCAACACCCCAACTGGCATTATCTTACCAATCAGACACCCCCATACTTAATTAGCTTAACACACATAATTAGCATCTTTTTTCTGGGAGCTTCGTTTTGAAGTCAGATGTATCCTATTTTTAATACATATTCGCTGACGTAATGCATCGATTACTGCAGTGTGTATTTGTGTAGGTGTAGCTATATATTTATAAACATTTCATGAACTCGAAAAGCTGCCAAGAGGTTTAGCTAGATCCAACAGTGACTGTCACTAGCAAATCCTTGGGATTAATGAGAGAATCTGATAAGTAATTAAAAAGAAAAAAGAGAGACCTTCCAAATTTCATTTAACAGCCTATTTATTTTGAATTCTTAAAAATTATGATAATTCTTTGTTGTTAAATAAAATTGAGAAAATTCGTATAACTTGATCCGGTAAAGATCTCTTTCTATTAAAAAGAGTGTTTGGAGTCGCACAATGTTTCTCAATTACTTTAATCATAGGACCATGTGCGTATGCCATCTAAAACAAGTATGGATTAGATTTCATGTGGGATTTCTTTTCTTTCTTAGGAATTTTAGTTGAATATAGTATGGGATATGGATGGATATACAAAAAAAAAATTTCACAAAACATATAAAATTTCTTTGGGAGGACTCAAGTTAGTGTCTTTGGTTTGAACTGTCCCTTCCTGAAGAGGAAAACATAGCGAATGACATTATGGAAAGGGATACGTGAACAAGCTACAAACCCATACTGCTCTTGAATACCATGTCGAGAATGTGACTCTCATGTCGGAAAATTAAAACTGTATGTAATAGTTTAGATGATCTTTTTTTTCTTTAGGCATTAACAATTAATTTTACTTTGAATGTTCAAATACTAAGATGGTATCAAAATTGGGATACGATTGACACTGTAGACACTAAAGAATCCTCTACAGCTCTAACACATTTTCTCCACTGGGATGTCTTAGTTTCCTAAAGGAAAAACTTATTTTCATGCAATTTTACGTTGGTAGTGTGAATTGCACATTGAGGAATCAAAACCTAATAATTATCAATTTGTTTTGAGTTGGATGTTCAAATTATAATATGACATCAGAGACGAATTACGATTGACATTGTTACAGTACAAAATCTCTAACACGCTTTGTGCAGTAAGATGTCTGGCTACTTTCTAGAAGAAGAATATAGACATGGATATTAGCTTTGAACGCTTAGAAACAACTAAGAGATTATATGAAAAATGAAAACATAGCTACTCTTACCTCTGCTCATCACCCAATCCTCTGTTGCTGCCGTTGCTGCTGCTGCTGCTTCCGGTGGCCTTATAATTCGGTATAGGGACTTGGCCGGATTCTATGTGCATGAGATCATGCACCAGAATCTCATAGTGCCTCTTCACTTCCTCCACAGTTTTTCCGTCCACGGCCTTGGCCACATTGTGCCAGCGGTCCTGCGTGTCCTTGTCGTACACGGCCAGCGCCTTCTCGAACAACTTGTTCTGCTTCGGCGTCCACGAGGAGCTGTGATTCCTCGAGGAAGAAACCGATGCCATCAGTAATCTTAGGTAAATATATGAACACGAAAGTTGGAATGAATCGTACGGCGATTGTAGCGAGCTGGTAAGAGGAGTGATAGAGGAGAGTTAGGGTGCTAAAGTTAAAAGATGGTTTACAAAAGGGACTCAAAGAATGAAGAAGTCTAGGGAATGATGGTATGGGCAAGAGGTGGCCATGCTCCTTATAAGCAGGAGGAGGAGAGACTCGTGGGGCTGTGGCAAGTTGGGAGAACCTAAAATTATAGCATCACGTTGTTGGTTTGAGATACTGTTATAGTGATATATTTTCTGATAAATTAGAGAATATTTAAAATTTTAAGAACAAAGAAGATAGGATTCGCTTTGTTGAACAACGCTAATAAGGACAATAAGCAAAAAGGAGGTTATGTGATTTCATCAGGTCTATCTCTGTCTTCTCATTATATTATCTCATCAGCAAGTGGGATTTCTTGAGAATTTACAGCCTGGTGGGGATTAGATATTCCCAATTCGTGGTCTACCCTTATTGGACAACTTGTGACTCGTATTATAACGTCTAAGAAGGACTATTTGACTATTTTGTTGAGAGTATATCTCGTCGAAGAATGAGAGTCTATCATGCTTAAAAAGTTTTCGAATTTCTATTTTTATTGTGAATTGACTTTGATAGACACTCATAGTTTAACATGGTATCATAATCGGGTTATTCGTGTCATAGTTTAACAATTTCACGTATCCTCACGTTGCTCAATAAGAATTGATCATGTGTTAGGTTAAAAAGATGTTGCATGTAGAGGCTTGTTGTAAGCATGACACGTAAGAACGTCTAGCGTTAGTACTTCAAAAATCTTAAAATTATCCTCTTATTCTCAATTAATTTTATATATTTTTTATAAATAATTAATTTTTCGTTAGATGCTCACGTTTTAACATATATTTTTTCGTGATATTTATAGGTTAGTAATAATAAAGAGGGTAAGAGAGCATGCAGGCATGAGATCTAGAGAAGTGTGATAGTTAAGCTTCATCACAAGATAGAGACAACAAAAATCGTGATGATGGAGGAAACCAAATGAAAAATGATCAGATCATGCATGAAGGAAATTGACAAAAATCGTGTGCGCGTGTGTGAATTGCTTGTCCCATTCATCCACCCTTCCACATCTTTTTAACATGTCAGAGTCGAAACACCAAGTTAAAAAAAAAAAAAGGCAGTACCTCACGACTTTGAGAAATTTTTGGTTATGACGGGAATATGAATGGTACATTACGTGTTTTCATGTAAGTGGTGAAAATTTTTATTTTTTAAGTTTTAAGTTTTTAATTTTTTAACACACATATCCCACTATTTGTATAATAACACGTAATATACTATCTCGTGTGTCGATCACACTGAAAAATCTTTCCACAACCTCACAGAGAGTGGGGCCTGCTATTAGATTAGGAGAGTCGGTTTTGTACGTAATTGATAGTGGAACTTGGAAATTTGAAAATGGTGGTTCAGCTACATTCGGAATGGACTTTTGCGGGATGGCCTTGCTGCTGGCTGAATCAGCAGGGGCAGTGAACAAAGTGGTGCTGTTCAGGTCCTGTGTCAGTTTTGGTATGCAGTTTACATGCTGCAATAGTCGATGATCAGAATCCAATCTTTTGTATTTGCTTGAGAAGATTACTTTGCCCTTACTAAAACACATGTAATTGTGGAAATCTTGGTCACAAGTAACAAACTTTTCCTTGCTAAATGATGCGTATTAGTCATAATGCAATACATGTTCTCCATAATTCTAAATTTTTCGAATTTTTTTTACATTTTCAGAATGGACGAAAAACTCAACAGTTAAGCGGTTTCAAATCGAGGATATGTGTTGTAGTATTATTGCTAGTGATTGAACCATATTGGCTAATTACATTGTCTTGCAATTCAAATTTTAATCAGTTAAAATTAGTGATTCCTTTGACATTACTTGTTTTTATTTCTTCACCTCCTTTAACCTACCTTCTCCTAACTCCTTGGCCCTTACATAGAAACCAAATCTAGTATTTCAAATTTTTCTTAAGATTTTAGCATGACCTAAAGATTTTGTTGTTTTTCTACACTTCCTTTTGATTTTAGCATGACCTAAAGATTTTGTTTTGGTAAAAAAACATGACCTAAAGATTGTGTTTGTGGGAAGAGGTAGATCCACATACCACCGACATAAATTTGAGTAATCTTTGGTGTTTTTTTTTTTTTTTTTCCTTAGCCGCACCAACACGGTGGACCCTGATGGCACGCACAGACACACAGTCGTTTGATGCAAAGAGTCAAATCCAAGGACTTACATGTTTTTTCCGCTAACGTTGGTGGTCGCTTATGTGTTTTGTGTTTGAATAATTTACATTGTGCAACATGTTTTTAATGAGCAGGAGAATGACCGATGGGGTTTGTTCCGTTCAGACAAGTTGCTTGTTGGGATTCTCGCCTTTGGAGATGCTGCAGCAATGGAGGAGCCAGGAGATAACATAAATATTCAGGTAAATGTGCTTGAAATCTTTGTTTGAAAAATCCACTAAATGTCTTTGATTCTTTGAATTTTTAATATATTAAGTCCAGTTGTGGGAAAGTTGTGATAATGTTATAGATCCCTTTTAATTCTTGTGGAATCTCTGTTCTTAGTTATCCCACTAGAAGGTCTCTCCACCCCTCCAAATTGTTTGACTAGTCCTTTGCTTTTAGGATGAACTTTTCTTCGATAAGAATGATATCTCAAATTAATACGGCAGTATTTTAAACTAATTACGTATTATCATAAGAAATCAATTTCTCTTCTATTATCAATAGAGAGAAATTCTTATATTTGAAAGATCGGACCACATTGTTGTTTTACCTAAGGGACAAAACTCCGCACCTATTAATACTCCTCTTGAATTTCAGCCCCATCCAAAGCGACTGATTAGACAACCACGTGGAGATGACGAATAAGATGTTTCTTTCACAGTCCATGACTTTTGAGGACCCAAAACTTTTGACATATGTCCTTTAGATTAGAAATAGGCTAATTGGTCTGACCAAAAACCAATGACCAATGACTTTGGAGGAATTGGAGTCCAGCTTCCCCACCACACAAGGTCCAATCCAATCATCTGCCACAGAAAAGCTTCAAGCTTTGGAGGAGGACCACTCTAAGAGGAGAACTTTTGCATAACATCTTGTGAGCTTCGAGAAATTTTTAGTTGTAACGAAAATATAAGTAGTACATCACGTGTTTTAATAAGAGTGGTGAGAAATTTTATTTTTTAAGTTATTAACTTTATAACACACATATCTCATCATTTGTATAATAACACGTGATGTACCATCTCGTGTACCGATCACATTGAAAAATCTCTCGTGAGCATCTGATTTTGAATCTTACAAGGAGAGAGAACAATCCTGTGTTGATAGAATGTTCGAAAAGATAACAAGTTTCATTTGCCAGCCAATGGGAATTGTGCAATATTTGTGCTGAGATATATGCCTTGTAGTATGCAGAACTTACAAATTTAGAGGTCCTAAGAAATTGAAATTGAATCTGCAATTTCTAGACAGAGTATATATGTTGCGTTCGAAATTGGATGCAAATGGGATCGTGAATATTGTTCCTTGGCCCGACTTCTTGTCGAAAGACCATATTATCCCATTTTGTGTTTACAGAAAATGGTTGGTTGGTGTTCAAAAATGGATCAACGAGATCGACACTATGAAATCACTTACACGAGAGCATTAGGATTTTGGGTGTTCGGGTGATGTTTCATTATGGTAATGTAACGCTACAGTTTACGTGATGGGTTCAGAGATTAGAGATAATATGAGAGTGAAAATAAACGGGTCCCTAAATGAAGAGAGTTGATCCTAAAAATGACGGTGAGGGAACTTTTTTTTAAGAGATAACCCTCACCTATGCATAGGTGGAGCTAAGTGAAGCTCGAAATAGTCACTTGGACTACAAGTCTCTTGTCTTTTATTTCTATAAGAAGTACGAGGCACTAAAAGCTTATCACACAAGCACTTAATTTATGAGAACGCATGACATTTTTAGTAACCTCCCCGCTCTCAACTGTCTGAAAATATGAGTCTTAGCTTTCTGTTGGGAGGCATTTCTGAAATTTGATCTACAGTAATTTGATGGACATCAAACTGAGACGTGTTCTTCTAACAGTATTCTCCTTTAATGTACCCATTGAGTCGCTTCAGTTCCCCACTTTGCCGCTCACCTACCGCCCGGACTACATCTTTGATCGAAATCACGCCAACTAGCTTCCCGTCTATAACTTGAACATGCCTTATATGATACTCTGTTGACATAAAAAAATCATCACGTAATTGCTTCCACGAGTGTTTATAAACAACCAAAGATTGTTCACTCCAATATCTATGCTAGTTAAAGAATAGAAATCGCGGCCACGGCATACCTGTCATAAGTTGCATTGCTTGAAGAATGCTCATGTCGGATGTTACTGTTATTAATTTGTTAAATAGTTAAGTTCATAACAAAAAATCGCGTGTTCAAAGTCAATTAGTATCTAAGAAGGTGAACTTGAAGTGACCTCATTAGTCATAATCTCTCCAACTCTTATATAAATAGGCGATCTTTCCTGTGCAATTACTTGAGGTAGTCTGCTCGGTTTATGCCGCGGTCAATAGAATCAGAAAAACTTGTTGGGACTTTATTTTTTCATGCAGTTAGTTCTGTAAATAGTTTACCTCTTTCAGTGATGATTCCTGCAATATGTTGTTGCTCTCCTGGCTTAAGCAACACTAACGACCCCATATTGTTTTTCGCCATCTGCAATTTCATGCTCATATGAAACTTAAACATGAGTGTAGCATGAATATCATATTTACATATGCATGGTAAGATCGTACATTTTTATTACTGCACCAATGACAGCGTCGTTCGTGTTGCACCAGGGCCAGGGTCCGTTTTCTTCATTACCCTCTGTCGCCAGTACATCTGCCACAGTTGCAATTCTCTAGTCCGTTTTCCTGTGCAGGTGGCAGGGCTGGCCCAGGCCCAGTGCTGACAGGACAATCATTCGGGGTTTAAAATAATGGGAACTTTAATGAAAACCACATGGTACTGTTCACTTTAACGAAAAATCATATTTTTACATTAAAAAGTCAATCCTGGTACTATTCACTTTACCCTTTATTTTGTCCTTATCATTAAAACTCAAAGTTTTCAAGCCCTTTTTATTAGTTTTTCTTAAAATAATTGGGAGTACCAAAATTATTAGGATAATATATCTATGTATGTTTTCATAAGAATATAAATTTATAAAATTTGGTTCAATGACCAAGATATTTAACTATAACTGATGGTTTTGTTGGTTTTGTTGTTTGAAATTAATGAGGATGTTTTGGGTTCGAAACATCATGTGTGCTTATATACTTTTCAATTTTTACAAATTTCTTTTCATAAGAGTATAAATATATAAAATTTGGCTAAATGATCAAGAAGTTTAATTAGAATCAATGGTTTTTATTGTTTAAAATTAATAAGAGGTCCTAAGTTTGAAATACTAAGTGCATGTTTCTTTTCAGTTTTTACTAATTTTTGTTTGGTTGTTAATTTATTTTTAATTGTAGTTAGTAACTATGTGGGTTGTTATTTTTAAACATTTGTTCCAATTCAAGTCTAATCTTCAACAAAGAGTAATGCGTTGACCAAATTTACAAATCATATGACGTGTCATCAAAAAATTTGTCTCATCCATCCTCATTCCATAACCTCCCAAAACCTCCCAAAACATTTCTTTTATTATGATAATTAGCCAATTAATATATTTATACCTAATTAATATATTAATTGCTAATTGAATAACCAAATAACACCCCAAAACACACTTAAAGGCCGGCCACACCCCATTCCCTATATATATGACCCTATTTCTTCTAAAAAGCTAAGTTCCATACTCTTGCAAAACTCCAAAAAACTCTCCAAATATTTTTCTCTCGAAATTCTAACTTTGGCATCGGAAGTTCTTCAGCCAAAGCCCCCCATTCATTGTGGGAGCGTGAATCTCTTGGCCTTGACCCGAATGTGTTAATTGTTTTGTAGGTGCAATTTTGTCCAAGAAGAAGAAGACGGAAATTTGCATCCACACCATTTATTACTTATACATATCAATTAAAGACTCAAAAACATTATTATTTTTTTAGTCCCATATTGACAAGATTAGTAAATAAGAAAAATACCTCACGATTTATACAAAAACACTTTAAAAGTTCGGATGGAAAACAAAACTCATATCTATCTACTTGTAAACACGAAGTTTTTTTGTTTCCTTCTCATGATACAAAATAAATTAGTTTTTCCGTATTTTTAAATTATTACGTTTGAAGTGTTTTTCTAAGTATGATTTTATCGATGTCTTACATATGAAAACAAACAATTTTCTTATATAAAATGAGGACACATTTTTTTACGTCTTCCCGGGTGTCAAAAATCTCTAGACTGCCCCTGGCAGGTGGAGAGGTAAGGTAACCCATTATAAACGTGAAACTATCTTTTCTAACCCGGCAATTTCTCTCCTGCGCGAACGGTGTAAAATTGCGGACGTGAGTGTTTCCTGGCACGATCGCACAGCCCTCGAAATTCCTCGCATTTGTGTTCCTGTTTAAGGAAAAATCACGAAAGCTTCCGACAAGTTGTGGGTTGAACCAACTCAGAGAAAAGAAACAGATGAAAACTATTGATACAGACCTTGGTGTGCAGATTCGAAACACTACCTCAGAACTCGATTGGAAGCTCCGTTAGGACGGAGAAGGTGTACGCTGCCTCATGTTTGGTAATTCGCTGTAGCAGCAGGAGCAAGATTCTGGTGTAAGTAATCTTTTACTTGACAATGTGCTTTCCTCTTATTCTTTTATTACATGAAGGAAAGTTTACCTTGCTTCTACATTGTTTACTTCTTTGCCAGGTTACTTGGCCGGGTGGAAAATTAATTTGGAAAGCTAGCTCCGTTAGCGTTACCTAAATTCATCTCGACGAAACTTCAAAGCCACCGTGGAATCCCAGACGTAGGTAAGTTTCTCTCCCAAGAAGGCGTGATTGTGCTCTTAAGACGGCATCCGAGCAAAGTATATGTACTCAACATGCCTGTCGGGGTCCTCCGAAAGACCAAATGAGAGATTCCAGAGCTGTTAGGGAAGGAAAACCTGCCTTCGGAAATTGCCGATTTCTCATGAATCATAAGTTTGTAAGAGAAGTGAGCATCCATGCCCAGAAAAGGTATAAAAAAATTGACAGAAATCCCGGAAAGTTTCCAAGGTATCTGATACAATTTCGATATATACACCAGACCTTTGATTAAGTGGTGTGCATCCTTCATCTTGTTCAACAAAGCCAATCCTTCTAGTTTCCAAACCATACATGGCAAACAAAAAGCACTTTCGGTTCCCTTGGCGTAGGCGTAGTTCTCAAGTAGAGCCCGATCCAAGTCCAGTGGCTAAAACCAAAAACCCTGCCCAGACTACCACCTCAGCACCTGTTGAGCGACCACCATTTCGGCCTGCGGGGAAAGCCCCTGTGAAAGCCTCTCCTTCCCAAGCTCAGGCTCCATTGAAGATTGAACCTCCGCCACCATCACAGCCCCACACTCAAGAGGACTCTCAGCTTGCTTCCTTGTCTGCTGAATCTCCATCACCTGCCACTCAACCAGAACCAAGGGAGCCATATGCAGAAATCAGCACATCCGAAACTATTCCCAAAGCTCAGAATAATACTCCAACCGCAGAGCAAACTCATGCAGCTTCCACAGAAGCTGTAGAAACAGTTGCTTCACCCGAGAAGGCAGATCCTGATACCGTTGGCGGAGATCAAAAGCACCATGCCAAAACCCCAAAAGACAGAAGCACCTCAAGGGTGTCTAATCAGAAGATGGTTTCATTGACCGCGGAACAAGCTCCCCTGCATAAAGAAATCAAGGAAGATGCTTTGGAAATGAATAAGTTGGCCACTGAGGACCAAATGCTTGAAAAACCAGTTAGCGTCGTAACCCTATCTGGTGAAAACAGAGGAGCAACAATGCACAATAGCTCAGAACCAGAAAACGGAGAAGAATTCATGCCCATACACCGCAGTTATAAGACCAATCCAGATGACAGCCTGGAAGCTACTACTGATGGAGAGGAAAGCAGCGAGGGGGAAAATTTCGACCAGACGAGTAAAGATCATCAGAGGATAGCATATGTCAACAGCAATGTACAGGGTATCAATAATTCTGTCGTGTTCTATACTTCTGTCGCAGAAAGGAATCCAGGTGTTCAGTCGGTTTTTTCTCAAAAGCCAGCAGAATCCATCAAGCCAAACGGTAAATCAGAGCCCCTCGAAACACACAAGGCTGAAATAACCAAAACACCTGAGAAGCTTAGTCCACTGTGAGACGGAGGTGCCTTTGAGGGCTCTTCATGGAACCAAGTGACTCGGACTCAGGTAATCCTGATAAGCCTCGGCATCATGGTTGTCACTATAGTTACGATATTGGGATTTTCTACTAAGATCTGCCAGCAGATATGTAAGAAAAATATACGGCGTGTATAACTGTAACCATACTTGTATAATACGAGAATCAGAAGTTAATACGAAATATGTACAATATTGCATTTGAATATCAAGATTCAATACAAGAGACCCTTACAAGAAAAGAGGGATTTTCGTACATCCTCCAGTTGCATACAACTGCGTTCACGTAAATAAATAAATTGGCAACTTACAGCATGCTTTATACGGGTTACTGCCATTACACAGACTACGGCAACTTCAGCAAAGGCACTTGCTGATGACCAAAAGCCATAGCTTAAAGTGCTCTGTTTCAAAAGTATATTTACAATTACAGTTCATTCTATGGGAAGACGAGCATGATGGCCATGTGATGCGAATGGACAGTAATCATTCGCAGGCTGGTTTCGTGTCAAAGCTGCTCAAGCAAATTGCGAAGGCTTGGAAAGCAGAGAGAGGGTAGCGATAGTCCATTGTGAAAATGTCTTTACCAATCTTCCCGAATTGCAGTATTACTTTCTCTTCTTCAGCCAATGGAACATTATGGCAAGGCTCTGCAGCGGCCACCAGCTGGAAATTCTTCACAGAGGCCACTGTAACGCGTCCCTTAAAATTCAGACACCAACACTGCAGCTGCTCGTGCCATCTAGGAGCTTTGTTTTTCAAAATGACCGGATCTTTTGTGCCTTGTTCCAAATCCGTTGTGGGGTCACTAGAGCAAAAGTTGGCAAGCTGCTTCGATCCCTTTGAAACTTGCAATGCACAGCATTTTGGAGGAAGGCAGGTCGCTAACTCTGTTGGAGTAGGAGCAACGCCCCCTTCTTGAACTGCTGACATGGGGATTGATTGCATGATGCATTGCATTCTCCTTGGTCCCCTTGTTCGGAGGATATTGAGCTCGTACGATACAGTAGCAACACTATAGCTACCAGCAGTCATCCTTGGAGATACCTTCTTTGGATTGATTTTTCGATGTGACTGATAATTTGTTTGGATTGCTGAGTCCTGTGGAGGCTGACTGTCATAAACGGTAAACTTGGATCCCAGAAAATTAGACCTGTTCATTTGCCAATGAATTGCACACAAAAAAGAATGAATCGTGGTTGTAATGAGCACAAATTGAAAAAAATCGTGGCAACGATAAAGATGCATAGTAAAGCTTGCCTCAATTGTCCAACATAAGTAATGCTTGCTCGAGAGAATTCATCTGCGGCCAAGGACACAACAAAATGTGTGCTTGTTGCCCGTCTGACCTTCCTTGCTGCCAGCAATAACTTACTCACGTCCCCACACAGAGCTATAGATTTATAAGAAAGAATTAGTCACTGGCTTAAAAATCCACTCCAAAAGAATTTGAACACCGATATCTAACACGCACCCAAGTCATGATTCGTGAATAATAACGGGAGAAGCATGCTTACCAGGGCTAAGACCAAGATACAGTAGGAATGTTGAAGTTTCTCTTTCCCTCTTAATAAAGCACTGGATCGGATGATCTCTTGGTCCCGGCTAGTAAATATATGCAAGTAATGAGGAAAGTAAAAATCTTCAGCAGGCAAGTGAAAGTCACATTCAGTAAGAATAACCTAAAGAAACCTCGTTTTATCGAAAAATACCTGCTTGAGTGAGACAGGGAAGGTAAGCCAGCCACATTGCTCTGGAGTCTTGACGATCCCTTTCGTAATCTCCCTCCACGACTTGCAAACCGAAGCGCAAGCAATCACATCCCTCCGAGCAGGCCAGGAAGTCTCACTCGCTTCAACGCGTTGGATTATGTCGAGAAGCAACTCCGGGGGCAAGTTTGCCCACTTGGTTTGCTCAACTGATGCAGGTGATGACAATGTATGTTCCGGGGCAATGTGAGATTTCGCACGGCGGCGCGTGTGCTTCCTCTCTTCCCCTCCTCTTCTTGATTTCTTCCCCTTGTCATCTCTCATCTCGAATAGCTCGTGAAACACGTTTCTGAATTGCATCGTTCACTGGACTAGTATTTCCACAACAACTATGATCACAATTCAAATGTCGTAGATGATATTTTTCGTGATTTCGCAGATCTAATTGTACGAAAAGTTTCCATAAGAATCTATACGATCAAGTTCTAAGAACACAAACAATCAAATTAAATACTCAAAATTTACACTAAATATCAAAACTTTCACATTCCGAACCTGAAATCGCAAGAAAAATGCCACAAAAAATGCAAAAAGTTGAGATCCTACAAAAACACCGAAAATCTGGATCGCTTGAAGAAGCTCCAAAATATACTCTACAGAAAGAGAGTGTGTGTGCGAGAGAGAGAGAGAGAGAGAGAGAGAGAGAGAGAGAGAGAGAGAGAGAGAGAGAGAGAGATTGTACCATATGCGTGTGGGGATTTCAGGAGGCTTCTAGGAAATCACCAATGTCGGGGACAAATACAAAAGCTTTAGAGAGAGAATGTGAGAGAGGAGAGAGAGAGAGAGGGTATATACTTATGCAATTGTCCAGATGGGCGAGGCAAAAAACGAACAACGCCAAAGAAGCTGATATTTCAATTTCTGAATAAAATATCCAAATGAAAATTGAAATTTAATTTAAGTTGAATTGCTGCGGAGATTTCGGTTGTTTACAGTTGGTTGCAGCGGCAGGCGCCGCGTCAGTGCCACCACAACCACCACCACCACTGCGCCGCCACTAACACCTGACCCTCTCGCTCTCTCCCTCAACCGAAAAGCTGTCTCTTTTGGAAGAGGAGGTTGGAATCCTCCTCCTCTATAAAGCACCACGGCCCCTTTTTCCCAACCACCACCTATTTTTTGCCGGTTAAACTACTGGGGCCCCACTTCCACGTGTGCGCCCTCACGCTTGCTTCAGTGCGTCCTCCGTTGCGATGGGCCCCGCTTTGTTGGAAGATGTGTTTGTGGCCGCTCTTTTAACCGGGTACCCATCCTACGGTCGCGTCGGTCTGATTTTCTCATGAGAACACAGTGTTGCATATGCATACGAGTCGGTTAGTGACCAATAGGATTCTTGAAAAATAGAAAAATACAGCAGTTTACAAGTATACATTGGTTGGCTAGTAGTTGCAAAAAACGAGGAACATACAGCCCTATGACAAGATTTTCCACTATGGAAATCAGTCTTTTTCAGAAGATTAATTAAGGCAATATGTGGTAATTAAGTTTATTTATTGGCATTTCGTAGAACACTTGGTGGGTTTGTTGTTGTCAATCAAATCATGTTGTATACATGTCAACAAATATCGACATATGCCGAAACAATCTGATGAGGATATATAGATAATTTGTCGAGTGTTGTCGATAGGGGTAGGTTGGAAAAACCGAAAACCGAAAAAAACCGACAATCGAACCGAAAAAAAAATCGAACCGAATCTGTTGAACCAAACCGAACCGAAAGGTATGAAAACCAGACCGAACCGAACCGAACCGAAATATGAAAATAAAATATAAATACTCAAAACCTGCTGGAGTGGAGATTCGAACCCCCTTCCGTCCAGGTTGGGGATAGCTTCCTTCAAACCAACTTGACTGTAGGCTTTGTATTGCTATAATTGTACCAGTATAATATTTATAGGCATTCTAATCTTAATGTTTTATAAAATTTATAAAGTTCACAAACCCTAGCCGTCATTCATTTTCATTCTCAAATCTCTCCTCTCTCTTTCTCTCATCCGCTGCGCTTCCTCAGTCTCTCTCTCCCTCCTTATTCTCTTCCTCCCTTCAACTCTCCTTCCTCTCTTCCTCTCTTCCTCTCTCCAACCTGCCAAGTCCATGGTTGTAACATGGATAGGTTTGTGATGAATTTATTTGACAATCCCCATTTTTTCCCTCTCCAAATCTTACTCCTCTTGTCTCTCTACTCCTCGTCTGATAGACTCTCTCTGTGGACTCTCACCTATAACAACAACAACTTCTTCACTCCTTTCTAATATTCCTTTCTTTCTCCATAAACTTTCGATCTCTGCTTTTCAAATACAAGCCAAATAGTTTTTTACTCTAGATTCATATGGAGGTCGCACCAGACATCCATCTTTGTTCCTCCGGATTTCTTTAACAGTAAGTATTCAATTTTTTCTTTTTTTTTCTTTTTCTTGTTTAATTCTTTGAGTGCTAAAAAATGAAAATGGTAGTTTTTTTTTTTATTTTTATGTTTTGATTAATAGTTTTTATTTCTTTGGTTTGTTGACTATGCTATTTGAATTTATTTGTTGACTATGCTTTGTGAAATTTTGAAGAAAAATTGGCTGATGTTATTCTTGGATTTGTCTTTGTGGAGCCCTATGTAGTAAAGATCTTTGGTTTTTGGATCTTTATTTTTATTAAACCTTTGGATCTCGTTTGTTTGGTTGTGTTCAGACAGGTGCTCGTGGCCGGATGTTACAATCGGCGAGGCGTCGGTTGGTTGGTGGCGAGGGTTTGTGCTAGTAGGGATGCTCGGCGGCGGGTGCTGCGGTAGAAGCCTAGGTTTTCTTTTGTTGTATTTTATGGCTTGGGCCTTTACTGTTTGTTGGAACTATTGGGCTAGTATGGCAGGGTCCTCTTTTGGGCTAGTTTACTAATATCCAGATCTAAAATAATAATAATAATAATAATAATGAAAAAAACGGAACCGGACCGAAACCAAACCGAAAAAAACCGGAACCGAAAAAAACCGAACCGAAAAAAATCGAAAAAAATTTGAACCGAACCGTTTCGAACCGAACCCAGCCCTAGTTGTCGATGCAACCCGTCGAGATATTCCTAGCAGATATTACATCAAACACTTAGTAGGCATAAAAAGGATTCGTACAAAACATTATGAGGGTTCTGAAAAGATCTTCACATATATGTTTTCTCGAACTCCAAGCGGTCCTTGGACCACCTTGGTCCTAATGTCCATCCGCCCCTGCAACCAAATAGAGACGTGAACTAGTCATACCATAATTGAAACAACTTTATTTTACGTATTTTCAATCCATGCGAACCGTGTGACAAGCAGCCGAAAGTACACCAATTCCTAGCAGACATTACATCAAACACTTAGTAGGCATAAAAAGGATTCGTACAAAACATTCGGAGGGTTCTGAAAAGATCTTCACATATATGTTTTCTCGAACTCCGAGCGGTCATTGGCCCATCTTGGTCCTAATGTCCATCCGCCATTGCAACCAAATAGAGACGTGAACTAGTCATAGTATAATTGAAACAACTTTATTTTACGTATTTCAATCCATGCGAAGCGTGTGACAAGCAGCCGAAAGTACACCAATTCTCAACACGTGCGAGTAGGAATCCTTCGCACTTAGTGAGGCATGGCCCATTGGGATGTCCTCGTTAACTAATAATAGAATTATTATTGACACTTTAAAATTTTCATTGTGCACACTTCATAAATGTGTTTGCTTTATAAATACTAGCATATGGGCACATACAAAGTGTGTGAGAAAATTTTTTATTTTTGTTTTTGAAATAGAAGGAGAGAGGAAGAGAGTGATAGAGAATGTGGGAGTAGGAATTTTTTTATTTTTTTTGTTTTAAATTAGAGATATGTTAGGATTACATGTAGGTGATGCTTTGAAAAAAAACAGCAAAATGTGGTTGTGTGAAATTACATTTCTGCCCCATATTTCTTATTCATGTTCTATTTTAATTAGAGGGTTAAATTGGTAATTTCATAAGATTTTGGTTGACAATGAGTGTTTTGTTAATTAGTAGAGATAAAAATTTTAGAGCGCAAAATTAGATTTTTAGATTGCGAATAACAATTTCTTCTAAAAATATGAAGCTATAAATTAGATCTTAAATAATAAATTTTCATTGTGCACTCTTTCAAAGTATAGTTTATTTTTTATTTTTTTTTTATATATATAAAAAGTTTGAACTTATTTTTTAAGTCGTACCTCAAGGTTCTGAAAAGATCTTCACATATATGTTTTCTCGAACTCTGAGCAGTCCTTGGACCACCTTGGTCCTAATGTCCATCCGCCTCTGCAACCAAATAGAGACGTGAACTAGTCATACTATAATTGAAACAACTTTATTTTACGTATTTTCAATCCACGTGAAGCGTGTGACAAGCAGCCGAAAGTACACCAATTCTCAATACATGCAAGTAGGAATCCTTCGCACTTGGTGAGGCATGGCCCATTGGGACTTCCTTGTTAATTAATAAGAAAATTATTATTGACACTTTAAAATTTTCATTGTGCACACTTCATAAATGTGTTTTCTTTATAAATACTAGCATATGGGCACACACAAAGTGTGTGAGAAATTTTTATTTTTTATTTTTTTTGAAATAGAAGGAGAGAGGAAGAGAGTGATAGAGAATGTGGGAGTAGGATTTTTTAATTTTTTTAATTTTTTTTGTTTTAAATTAGAGATATGTTAGGATTACATATAGGTGATGCTTTGAAGAAAAAAAACAAAAAAATTTGATTGTGTGAAATTACATTTCTGCCACATATTTCTTATTCATGTTCAATTTTATTTAGAGGGTTAAATTGGTAATTTCATAGGATTTTGGTTGACAATGAGTGTTTTATTAATTAGTAGAGGTAAAAAATTTAGAGCGCAAAATTAGATTTTTGGATTGCAAATAACAATTCCTTCTAAAAATATGAAGCTATAAATTAGATCTTAAATAATAAATTTTCATTGTGCACTCTTTCAAAGTATAGGTTTTTTTTTTTTTATATATAAAAAGTTTGAACTTATTTTTTAAGTCTTACCTAAAGGATCTACTTATTTAAAGCCTTTTCGGTTCGACTTATTATATTATCTTGATATCTCGTCCCAGAAAAGATCCACAAGGTCCGAGACTCCGAAGCATGCAATGCATGCATGGGAAGTATAATTATATATTGATTCTTAGCTCGAACCCACAAAAAGTTTTGCATGGTGGTATCGGAGAAATATATAAATATGGGAATATTCTCGTAAATTAGTACGAGAGTGAGTTTTAGTGTTTGGAGTTGAAGCCCCGGGCGGGATACCCAGAAACTATTTGACGGACGAGTCGGTCTCAGCAAGGTCACCAGCAGCAGCCACACTTGCACGTGCTATTGCCTTTATCTACGTGCTTTTGTTCTTAATTATTCTAGGGTTTCGTTTTCATGCACCAGTTTTCTAAATACAGTGAATGGGCTGAAAGATGGATGCGTACGTGTTAGGCAAATAATTTAATTGACCACTTAACATCAGGGCAATCATTGGATCGGATTGGTTTGGATTGGATTAGCTTTGTTGGGTGTTTTGGAGGAAATGGAAAGTAGAAACACAGGTCTTGTCTTTCAATCTCAGATGAGATTGTTCACCGGAAATATTAGAGCTACGTTTGGGACGACGATTGTTATGAGACGGAATGTTATTGTATTTGTATCTCTAGTCAATCACGAATTGAAAAAAAATGAGTTAAAACGTGTCGAGCGCATGATTAACTTAAGATTATGCCACTTCAACATTCTAGTTGTAAACGAGTTTCTATCTTACAATATGAGCAAAAACAATTTCTCGGACTTAAGTGATTATCGACTAGATTTTTATTCATTAAGATGCATGTAAAACAGTTAACTCATATAAAAGATGTAAGTGAAAATCCCTCACTAATGTTAAGGATAATCGTGCATGTGTGCGTATTTCACTTGCAGATGAAATAATTATAGACAAATCCACGTGTGAGTGATTCTCGGTACCATTTCACAAATATTATTAAAGTATTGACAAAGATATTTATCCTCATAGTCATATATTCATAGAATGTTAATGAGATCTAACCTCTTGTTCTGTTGGTGGAAGACATGATTAGCCATGGTCCACTCAACCACCAATTTAATTATTTTAGTTCAAGTACTCAGATCATAACAAGCATAATTCATATATCATATTAAAAACAAACAAATAAGTCCTTCCAACTGGCAAGGTGGGAACAAGTAGGCGTGACCAAAACATTTAGCAAAAATTATTAAGCAGTGGCAGCCATGACTACTGCTGGACTTGGAGGTACTGCCAACGAGGATACACCAAAGCTTGTTTCCCACAAATTTAATTGATTGGTAACTTTCGCAAGAGAACCACTTTATTATTGAACATAGAAAATGTTTGGGTAGTGAAGAAAGTTGAGATTCCACAATCAAATCAATTGGCAATATAAATAATAGTTCAATTACTAATAAGTACATGTAGGGTCCAGCGTGGGATTGACACTCTCAACACGCCTCTTTATGTGTGGCGAATTTTCAAGCTTAGCACGTGGACAACACAAATTAAGTGACGTGAAGCACACCGGGGCGTTTACACGAAGGACAACCTGCTTTGATATCGTGAAGAAAGTTGAAGTTCCACTATAAAATCAATTGACAATATAATTAGTAACACAATTACTTATAAGCACATGTGAAGTCTCATTTTTTCTCGATATGAAATTGATACTCCCAACAGGTAGCCATGCCCCCTCCTCCTTGTTTTTTTATAAAATACACTGCCACAGTTGAAATATCAGGAGAAATGCCAGCTGTTTCTGTGCAACATGGTATGTGGATTTTTCTGCTAATTGTATTATTTATTTATTAAGCTGGTGATTTCATGCAAGATCGGGGTTTTATGGACTAGGCCGGTTTTTCAAAGGAGTTGCCTCTTCTTTTTAGGTCTCGTATCGACATGTTTATTTTCGTGCGTGACATATGGACTGGACTAGAGGAATGGACAACAATGTGAGCCAGAAGATGGAATTAGAGCCCAAACGATATAAAGGGATTTGGATCCTCTTTTGAGCCCAAGGAGAGGATCCTCCTAACCAAGAACTGTGAGCCGTTGGATCCAACGGCTATAATTATTATAACTTTAAAGGAACCCCCTTGTTTGTAGCCGTTGGATAAAAATCCAACGGCCTAGAGTCCTTGGTCAACAAGATCATCTCCTTGGGCTCAGGAGAGGATCCAAATCCGATATAAAGAACTACACGAAATCTTTGTCATTCAAAAAGGAAAAGTGATTTTGTACTACAATTTAGTGGTATTCTCTTTCACTCGTAAGTGAGAAGTTTTAGATTCAATTATCGCCAAAGACGAATTTTAACCATATTATTACTAGCCAAGACTGTAGATACTATTGTTTGTTTAAAAAAAAAAAGAAAAAAAAGGAGAAGTGATTTTATTCAAACAAAAAAAAAGGGGAAGTGATTTCCTGTTTCGATTTACTAGTTTATTAGTGTACGTACATGAGATCGATTAATTTGCATTAGAGATTTGTGATCAAAATATCATTTTTGTGTCTAAATAACGTTACTAATTAAATAATATGTCACAACGTGATGGTTACACACACTACTATATAGTTTTAAATTCACTTAAATAATAACACTAGTAATTATTAATAATCAAGAAATCACATGTCTATGACATATCAACCTTATCATTCATCTATTATTTAAAACAAAATCAATAACGCTAGAAGACATATCAACTTTATCGTTCATTTGCTTGTCGGCTACAATAATACGTACCACTTAATTAGTGATACAAAACTAAACACATATCAACTTTATCGTTCATCTACTTGTACGCTACAATAATACATACCACTCAATTAGCGATACAGGTTTTGTATAAAATTTAACTATTGCAAAAAGCTATTAAATTTTTATATACAAAATCTAACTGTTAATTTTATAGACTACTCAGTTGTACGTAAAAGAAGAAAACTTCTCTTGTTGACATGTTTATTTTCGTGAATGAAATGTGGACTGGACCGGAGGAATAGACTATTATGAGCCATGCATAAGATAGAAGTACAGTCCACAGGACAAAAAGAACTAGAAGAACCATTTGGCATTCAGAAAAGGATTGTAATTTCAGCACTTAAAAATCTTTCCCCAAAAATAAAGGAGTCCAAAGGCAAAGGCGGAATCCCAATTAAATCGGTAAAAACGTTTATTGTTATATATTAAAATCAAATTCAAATCGAGTAGAACTGAGTTGAAACGGGTAACTTCCAGAGCTTTTGCTGCCGATCGACTGCTTGAACCCCTACCTGAACATGGAGATATTACCATATACCAGTATTCCTACATCTACATAGCATGTATATGGGAGCAAACCACTATATATATTTACAAACATCTACATATCTCACAGAACATCTCTCTTTGTTTCTCTCTACGGATCCCAAGCCCCTGCATTTACGGGCATAATGGCTAAATTTCTGACCCGTATGATCAAGTGCTTCTTCTCCATGGCCTTATTACTTCCGACTTTTAGGCATGCGCTCTCCCAAGCAGCTCAAGTGAACATACCCCCGGCGCCCCCAACGGTTTTTATAACCGTCGACCAGTCTGGCAGCAACGATTACACTAAAATACAAGACGCCATCGATGCTGTACCGTCCAACAATGCCCTGCCTGTGTATATTTGGGTTAAACCTGGCATCTACTACGAAAAGATTAATGTACCTTCAGACAAACCGTTTATAACAATAAGTGGATCGACAAGTTATGCAAGCGACACCGTGATAACGTGGAAGGAATCCGGCGAGATAAATGAAACCGCAGTCTTCACTTTATGGGCATCTGATTTCGTAGGGCGCAACTTCACAGTTCAGAATACGTATGGGACCGGTGGCAAAGCAGTTGCACTGAGAGTCTCGGGAGACAGAGTAGCATTCTATGGTTGCAGCATTATGTCTCATCAAGATGCCTTATTTGCCGATATAGGCAAGCAATACTACAAAGACTGCTACATTGAAGGAGACACTGATTTTATATTTGGAAGCGCTTCTTCTTTATTTGAGGTATGTATGTGACAGCTATATATATTTACGATAAAATTATTTGGACATGCAAAACTAACATACCCACACTAGTAGAATTGTCACATGCATTCGCTTTCGGAACAAAACGGAGCTATAACAGCCCAAAAAAGGGATTCACCATCACAAGATGCAGGGTTTTTGTTCTTGGGAGGCGAAATCACTGGCGTGGGAAGGGCAGTATTAGGAAGGCCATGGGGTCCCTATTCGACAGTCATCTTTGCCTATACTAAGATGTCAAATGCGATTCTCCCACAAGGTTGGGACAGTTGGGGCCGATCAACTGACTACTTAAGGTTTACATTTTCTCATGTTAATTTTTAATAATTAGGTTAATTATTTAATTTTTGGGAGCAGCCTCTCCATAAATGGGGGTAAGGCTAGCCGACATTCACCTCTCCCAGACCCCGCGTAAAGCGGGAGCCTTGTGCACTGGGTACGACCTTTTTTAGGTTAATTATTTAATTTCATTACTCTATTTATTTATTTGTTTTAATCTCTTTCAATTTGGTTTCAACTTGATGGGTATGTAGTAAGGTTTACTATGGTGAGTACAAATGTATTGGAGCTGGAGCCGTGACAGCAGAAAGAGTTGCGTGGGAACACAACGTTACGCCAAAAGAATTTACATCCTTCATGAACAAGGTTAGGGGCTTTGGAATTGGAAGCTGGCAAGGTTCAGATGGAGGAGGTTGGAAATATGGAGCTCCCCCTCGTGTCGGAAGAGATGGAGAAGGAAACAATGGAGGACGGCAACAAGGACCTCCTACTCCTATTGGAGATGGAGGGAAACAAGGATATCCTACTCCTATTGGAGGTGGAGGGCAACATGGACCTCCTCCTCCCGCAACTAGAGAAGGAGGACAATATGGAGCTCCCGCTCCCTTTGCAGTAGGATGGCAACATGGACCTCCTCCTTCTGTTGCGGGAGGAGGACAATATGGAGCTCCCCCTCCATTTGCAGGAGGATGGCAACAAGGACCTCCTACTCCGGTTGGGGGAGGAGGGCAACATGGACCACCTCCTCCTGTAGGAGGAGAACGAGAAAGAAACAATGGAGGAGGATGGAAACATGCAGCACCCATTCCCAATGGTGGAGGAGGAGGAGTTAGAAACAATGCAGGAGTAGGGCAACATGGAGTTCCTAATGTAGGAGGAGCCTCCATCGAGGGGTGGGCTGATGTGCAATGGAGTGGTTGTGAAAAAGGTGCTGCCCATCCAGGCCTTTGGGGATTGTCTCTTGTTTTGCTTCCCTTAATCCACTTGTCATAATTTTATGAGGGGTAAAATTTTAGGGCAAAACTTGGATGGGGGCGAGTATAGTAGAAAACTTTGTAAATCTATTAGTTTACTTTCCTTTAGTAATCAAGTTGTAGACTCTTATAGTTGAGACTTAAATTTAGTGACAAATGTAACTTTTTAAATGCATGCATAGGACATGTATGAATCCAAACAATTACTCCTTACAGTGTTTATGTTTCCACATGTGCCACGAGAAAAACTGACAATAATCAATATTAGTTGCACGCAATGCACAAAATAAAGTGCGTAAAGGCCTTTTATTAGTAGCTAATAACTTCATTAGTTATTGATACGCCTTCCAAATTTTTGCTCATTTTATTTTATTTTATGTAGTGCAATGGCCTTAGACCTATGGCGATCGCCTTTTTTAATTCATTGTGAGAATAATTTGGACCAGTTCCAGGCTTCCAGATCTATTTTACACCGGTAGCAGCCAATGTCAAAACTCCAAATCCAAGCAACTGAGCTGCCTGCTCAAATAACGTAATGGGTGATAAACCCTAATATCACACAAATGACATACTAATTCTACTTCTTAAGCAACTTCAAGACTTGTGTAACATCAATTATCCAATCAGGCCGCCATTACAACATTTCATATCAACATAATCTGATCTTAACCACCTCATATCACTCATTTTAATTTCAAACATTTGTTTCTTCAGTCTCAAGGTACAAATATCCTGCCGCCGGCTACCCTGGAAATTCCTTACAATTATCCTCCACACGTTTACGTAAAATAATTCTTCAAACTCTTTATTATCAAGAAAACGGCCCCACCTCCCTTGGGATCCAGCTGTAACTACTATATAACAATCAACGTCCATCCATCTTCTTCAACATTCAAATTTCAATCCACGTTCTTCAATATTCATTTCAACTTACGCATATATTCATTGAATTTTTAAGAGTATTTGAGCCAAAAACTTCCAATTTCGACCATGGTGGCTGTTTGTGGTACTTCTATGAAGACCAAGTGCTTCTTTGTCATGGCTTCATTGTATGTTCTTCTGGCGCTTTCTCAAGCAGAAGCAGAAACAACTCAGGGGTCCACGGCAATTCTAATAACCGTGGATCAGTCTGGGAAAGGCGATTACGAGAAAATACAAGATGCCATCGACGCGGTGCCGTCGAATAACGTCGATCTTGTGTTCATTAGGGTTAAGCCTGGAGTCTACAAAGAAAAAATTACTGTCCCCGCGGACAAACCCTTTATTACAATAAGTGGCACAAAGGCAGTTGACACTATAATTACGTGGAACGACAGCGGAGATATATTTGAATCTGCAACTTTCTCTGTGTTGGCTTCGGATTTTATAGGGCGCTACCTCACAATTCAGGTACATATATTTATATGTGTGTGTGTGTGTGTACGTATATAGTACGTTTCACATGCATGTCCATGCATATATACGCTTGAATCTAATAATTTTAATTGCTGAATTCATTGCAGAACACTTATGGAAGCGGTGGTAAAGCAGTGGCGCTGAGGGCCTCAGGGGATAGAGCAGCATTTTATGTGTGCAGAATTTTGTCTTACCAAGATACCCTACTTGACGATACCGGCAGGCACTACTACAACAACTGTTATATTGAAGGAGCCACTGATTTTATATGTGGAAATGGTGCTTCTTTTTTTGAGGTAACTTATAGAAGAAAACAATATTGTTAGCGTTTTGGTTTTTGAAAATTATTGATTTTATTGTTTCGGTCTAAACCATCACACTATCACGCGTGTTGTTATCAATATGTTCATGTTGTTATCAATATGTTCATGATACACTTGATCTATCTATATATTATAATATGCGGATTAGTAGCTAGTAACATGCATGTGATGTTAGGACCATCAGCTCAATGATTTCTCGAGGATTAATTAGTATGGTGCTAATTCATATGTTTGGGCTTCAATTGATGAATAAATTAATTAAATTTTCCAGAAGTGCCATTTGCATTCGATTTCGAATGGAGGAGGAGCCATAACAGCCCAAAGGAGGATGTCACCTTCAGAGGACACTGGGTTCTTTTTCTTTGGGTGCAAGATCACTGGCGTCAAAACGGCAGTGTTAGGAAGACCATGGGGTGTCTATTCCAGAGTCATTTTTGCCTTCACTTACATGCCTAATATCATACTCCCTCAGGGTTGGAACGACTGGGGTAACTCAGCCGACCAATTAAGGTAACTCTAACGATAAATTTTATTAGTATTCCACAATTATGACCAGGTGCTCCTCCGTTTATATGATGACTATTTTCCATTGCTAATAATGGCTTCTTTTTTTGTCCTTAATTTTGTAATCTTTTTATTTTATTTTTTTATTTACGTTGGCTCAATTTCTAATTTTGTTTAAATTGATGTATATGCAGTTCTGTTTACTATGGACAATACAAATGTTCTGGACCTGGAGCTGTGACATCAAAAAGAGTTGACTGGTCACGAGTCCTAACGAGTGAAGAAGCTGCACCTTTCATAACTAAGGACTCCATTGACGGCAAAGCTTGGATTAGGGCAGCGCCTACCAGTTTCAAGAAGAAGGCATTTCCCCCCAAGAATTGATTCTTTAATCTTCTTGTGTGGAAATATATGTATAGTTTTATAAATATTTGATTGCAAAGTTGTTGATCTCATGTATTAATTTAAACATTCTTTCATTGAGTGTACAAATATATATACATCAATTCAATTTCTTTCTCTTGATCTGGCCATGTTTCAAAGCAATCGATCACCACCTTTTATATAAATGTTTGTACAATATATTACAAATTGTTCGAGTTCGTTGCCCCAAATTAATCTCCAAAAACGTCTAGACTAATCAAGTAATAATCATGCCGTAAATTTCAAGAGTATCATGAACGGGTCCCCTTAAGATTTAAGATGGAAATAAATAAATTAAATGTTTTCAAATAATATTTTGAGACAAAACAATAGGGATTTTATTCAAATAAATACAATTTATAGGGAGAGCTCTCTAGATTATATCTAAAAGCTCCTCAAATCAACTATAAAAGAAATTAAAAAATAAAACCAACTTGGTCAATTTATGAGCCACAACATTGAACAATCGACGAAGATGACAAACTCAAGATGCGGAGAATCTTTGGAGCCCTGGTTTGAAATCAGACCCAATGCATAAGAAAAGAAATAGCAATTAATGTAAAATACTTTAAAGAAAAAAAAAATTAAAATGAACGACAGCATGCATGATGCATGCACGTACTACGTTGAGACCTTCCAAAAGAAATGAAGCCCATTAATCTGGTTATGGCTTGCATCCTCCAGCTGATCAGCAGCTAGCTAATGAAGCTGATAACTCTGACAACTAATGGCTTTCTTGTACTAGGATTCTCTCCCCTCCTATTTTGTCTCTCCTTTTTTTTTTTTTACTCTTTCTCTTTTTATAAAGAAATGAGCTAGGATCCTCGCCATATCCTTTTTGTGAGGATCTGGGGATCTTTTAATTATGTCTATTTATTGTATATTGTGCGGTCAATTTTCGTTAAATATTGTTTGTGTTTAATTTTAAATAATATAATTTTAAATATTTTTTGACCGTATGATGTACGATGAAAAGACAGGATTAAAGGATCATCGGATCCTCACAAAGAAGATCTGGCGAGGATCAAATCCATGTGATACATGTCCAAAATACTCGAGTATTGTATTGCTGGCTTATATCTAAAACCTGCGGGCTGCCGCCAGTATTACGTACAACATTCATCCGCAAAAGGTTAACTTAGTGGATAAATCAGTCTTATTAACGTAGCGTCTAGCTAGCTTGCAAGATATTACTTTTGCAATTTTTTTTTGGGGGGGGGGGGGTAAGAACGAAGGAAAATATATGTAAGGCAACCATGTATATATGTATGTATCTATATATATATAAGATTAACTTGTCAATAAATTTACAGAAAGTGAGGAACTGAACTGAAGATCGTATTTGTAGAGATATATGATCATCTATTCATTTGTGTTTAGTTAAAGCAATTTGAAGAGAAGTGGGTTCACTCATGGCAGTACGGGACTCACCTGTCCTAATAAAGTTCAAGCCACGTATTTAATCCTAATCCTAATCCTGTTACTTGTATTAATTTGTAGCTTATTCTGGAATTAATCCATGTGTTCGATTATATATTTCACTTAATTGTGGGTCGCAATAATCTTTAATTCTTCAGGAGATTACGTGTGCGCAAGAGGAATCAATCACTCATCAAGGAGGAGATTGAAGCTTACTGGAAAGCACACAAGAAGTCAAATTGCATCAGCCTGGCACTATATATATATATATGTGTGTGTGTGTGTGTGTGTGTGTAATACTCTTTTTATGATGTTATTGTTGCGCGTATAAGCAACTTTTCTAGCACAACTCATATCGAGAAGAAAATTACAGAAATCCAGCTCTTTTCCGGTGACCAGAACAAAGGACGGCACAGGTACTGAAGTCTGAAACAAGCCCTAGGGCTCAGAATATCATAAACAGCAATGGCTGGTAACATGTTAATTAGCATAATAATTTTCTTCTCATTTTTTATTTGTAAAACATAAATAAATAATTAATAATATTATGGATGCATATATGCAGGTGGACAGTGCGCAATTGGGCATTTCTGAATTAACCTCCAATATCAGAAGCCGATTCCAACACTACTATTGCGTCACAGTTTCATGTATCCACTAGCTCGGCCCCTAAATCAAACGGCCATGATCAAATCAGTCCCTGAGCTGTCCTTAAGGCCCAAGAATACGGCCCATAAAAGTCGGTCCATATGCTTGACCCGTCAATCATGGGCTCCTATGCAAATTAATTTGATCCGTCACCTTTTCTTTTTCTTTTTTATTTAATTTTTAAATTGTAAGGACCTTATGACTTGGGAGATCGAGTTTCTTGGCAGTCATAGTTGTGTTTCTATTTAAGGATCTTAAGACTTATGTAAGTAAGTCTTATTTAAGGAAGTTTCATTTTATTTCTAATGTCTTCCACTACGACAGTTAAGATGTTACATCACGATTTTAAATTAGAAGAGATATTTAAAAAAATAACAGATCTATTCACTGGCTTTTAATAATCTTTCGAGCTGTTGCATAATTTGGTCGGCTAACCGTTCAACATTACTTTTAAACAATCCACGTTCTTAGGATACTCTTTCACAATCGTAAGCCTTACAAACATTCCTTTAAGAGGCTTCAATAAAAAACGTAAAGAAAATAAAAAGAAAGAGATAAACACATTATTTTTATATTTTAGATGACTCGTGGAACTTGAGGATGGGTTGGGGCAGCTTCCTTGCATCTTCATGTTTTTTTTTCTTTCCATGAAATGATTCCTTTTGTAAGTAGTTGAATGCAAACAAACATGGCGTGACCACGCTTTCTTAGCCTTCACTCAAAAATCATTGTGCCTTTTCTAAATTCTTGTAATTATTTTTGCTATTAATTATGATCTTTAATGAGTAAAATAGTTCTCTTAAATGGAATTAGGTCATGGGTCTTTTATACAAATGATATATTTATATTTAAGGGGTAGGAGAATAAATTGGTTGTAAAATCGTCATTCATGAAATTTGAACTTAAGATATCTCACCTATAAATAAAAAAGAATACTATTAGACCGTAGTACTAAATAACAGACCATGATCTAAGTTATATTGTCCTTTTTGAACGTATTTGTTGTATTTTCTTTTCAACTATACTTGTATTTATATTGTCCTTGAACTTTCTATATTTTTTACTAATTCTTTAATTAGTGGTTACACAACGACAATAACGTCTTGATCACGTTAGGAGTAAAGTATGAATCTGGAATAACAAGTGCAATAGTCCGGTTTGCCCTTACCAACCCTTTTCTTGAACAGCTTTACGAGGGTAGTTATAACTTTTCACCTAGTATTTTTTGCTTCTAAATTAAGCAAAATTATAAAGAAATTTTGATCCAATACCTTTGTAGCTGTTCCTGTCCCACGGTAGGTAAGCTCTCAACAATATTCTCATAAAGTCAAACAAACAAAGAAAAATGGAGGTGGATTGTTTACCCTTCCATTTCCATACTCTTCTCATTCCCTCCTGTTTTGTGTAATCACGATTAATCCACGTCAATATTTTATATTCCTATTACTTTTTGTTTTATTATTATTATAAAAAATAATATAAAATATTGACGTGACTTAACCGTGACCATATAAACAGAAAGAAATGGGAAGAGTATAGAAATTGGAGGGCAGATAATCCACCTCCAAGAAAAATAAGGTAAACAGTCAATCCCACCATTTTCTTTCCTATCTAGAAGCATGTGATATAATATTATATAATTTCGTCCATAAATTGTGCTCTTGCTACTTTTATTCACTTCACAACTTCAAAAGTACACGCACAAAAGAAAAAACAAGGGAAAAGAAGAAGAATTTGAGATTCTTTTTTCGAAATTCCAATGGCGGAAAAGAGTAAGATTTTGATCATCGGAGGCACTGGCTACATCGGAAAGTTTGTCGTCGAAGCGAGCGCAAAGGCCGGCCATCCAACCTTTGCTCTGGTTAGAGAGAGCACGGTCAAAGACCCTGCCAAGGCTAACCTCATTGAGAAGTTCAAGAACTTGGGTGTCACTTTGCTCTACGTACGCATATTCATATTAATCTCTCTTTGTGTTTAAGTTAATTATGTTATGGTAGTTAATTATGGTGATTAATATGCAGGGAGATCTTTATGACCATGAGAGTTTGGTGAAGGCGATCAAACAGGTGGATGTTGTGATATCGACGGTGGGTTTCATGCAAACTGCAGACCAAACCAAGATCATTGCTGCCATTAAAGAAGCTGGCAATATCAAGGTTGGTGTCTCTAATTAACCAGAGGATCTATCGGTGAGGTTGTCTGATCAAGTGACATATTCGAGTATCTAATATTAATATGTCATAGTGTCAATATGCTTGTTAGTGATAATCCATGTGAAAATCATTTGACAACTTAAAATTATCAGACAGTCTGATCCAAGTTTTGTCGCCTTCTAATTTAGGGGTTTTTAGGTGAAAGATTTGCAAAACTATGGGGATTAATATAAATATAACTTGTCCTGTATTTTATGCAGAGATTCTTCCCGTCGGAGTTCGGAAACGATGTGGATCGAGTGCATGCAGTTGAACCAGCCAAGTCTACGTTCGACCTCAAGGTCCAAATCCGGCGTGCTATTGAGGCCGAGGGCATCCCCTACACTTATGTCTCCAGCAACTGCTTTGCTGGCTACTTTCTGCCCTCATTGGCACAGCCAGGTGCCACTTCTCCACCCAGAGACAAAGTCACCATCTTAGGGGACGGAAACCCGAAAGGTAACAATGTCAACGAAAGTACTTCTGTTCGTAAGTGATTATATTCATAAGCAATTATGTTATAAGTACTTTTACTAAAGGCACTTGGGAGGTTGTTCATGAAGAAGTACTTGCTAGGTGCCTCTCTACAAAGTACACAAAAATAGTTTTACTACTCGGAAGCACTCTAATTTTTCTACCGAATAGTTCATAATCGCTTTTATTTGTATGCAATTGATTTGATCTCAAATATGCTCTATATTTTTTGTTAATGTTGCAGCTGTGTTCAACAAGGAAGATGACATTGGAACCTATACGATCCGGGCCGTTGATGACCCAAGAACATTGAACAAGATCCTCTACCTGAAGCCTCCACAGAACATCTACTCCTTCAATGAGCTTGTTGCCCTGTGGGAGAAGAAGATTGGCAAAGTTCTTGAAAAAGTCTACGTCCCAGAGGACAAATTCTCAAGGATATTGCAGGTCAGTAATTAATCATCCATTTTTTGACACAAACGACAGTGGAAGGGAAGGAATTCAAACTCGGATCTCGAGTGCATGAGCCGCCGATTGCTCTTAATCAACCGTGTTATAAGCCTCCTGCAGTAATTAATCATGGTTTAATTAATTAATGTTGTTGGTTTTGCAGAGGCCCCAATTCCAATCAATGTGATATTAGCAATCAACCACTCAGTGTTTGTGAAGGGAGATCATACCAACTTCGAAATCGAGCCGTCGTTCGGAGTTGAGGCTTATGAGCTCTACCCTGATGTGAAGTACACCACCGTGGATGAGTACCTTGATCAATTTGTTTGAAGAGATTAAGATCACAGGACTTCTGCTAATATGTGTGCTAAATATCTCAGAAAAAATAACTTTAAATGTCGTTAATGTTGTTTGAGCGGAAGAGTGTGTGCGACGAGAACAAAATTTACAGAGTTTTATTGTAATTTCCATGTTTTTCCTGCACATTTGTGGTTGGTTTTGATTTTTAGAGATGTCAAAACACTTTGAGAATTGCCTAGTGTATATCACGTCATGGTGATACGAAATATAAAAATAAGATGATATACTCTTGGCTGTATTTACAATTTATCTCTAGGTTAATCGTCATGAACTCACAAGTAACATAATCTTTTGAATATAGAACATACAACCCCCATATGTGCATTGTGTGTCTCATAAGTTACAAAATCTTCTCATATGACCCCCACATTGACTCACTCAATAACCTAATCAAGCAGACCTAGCGAAGTTTCTCTCATTTTTAATTTGCAACTATTATGAAATGCTTTGGAGCTAAACACACGTCACTAAGTTACAAAATATTTTGAACATAGAATCCATGTATTAACACCGTTCATGGAGCATCTATCACAAGAACACGAGATCCTAAATATTTTATCTCATATGATCCCACACTAGTCTCACTCGGTGCGAGAACTGTCCTAATCAAGCAGTGTAGCGAACATCTCTCCTCCCCTTATACCTTTATAATCGTTACGAAAATGATGTTTGGTGGCCAAACGCACAACATAAGTTGAAGACGAACAGAAAACGCATGACTTTGACACACGAAAGGAAGCACTTGCACAGAGCAAGCAACCATCATCACAAGAGCAGAACTAGTGGTGGTCGTATTTCTATGATTGCACTATCGATCCTTACATTACAAGCCAATTTTACAATTGGTCCCTCAAATTGCAGCAAATTATGAAACCAACGCAATTAGTTGAACTTTGTCTTGCTTGCTTAGGAGACAACCCCCGTGTCACGAAGTCTCTTAACTTTATATGATGACAAGAAACCATCCATCATTCAATATCTTTGCTGACAGATAATGTTTCCTCAGCTTATGCGTTTCCTTTCTTTTTGGTACAACTAACATCAGTGAAAATCATGTATTAACATACATTTTTTCCGGAAAACGAAACAAACATACATTTTACAGGAAACCAGTGCAGTTCTCTTCCTTGTATTAACATGTCACACTTAAATTTTTCTTCCGAAGGTGATCGGAGAGGCTCATACCGAAAAGCGCGAGCTTTGTCCCCGAAGTAGCTTTCATGCATGAAGAACAATCTAACCTAAATTGCTATAAGAATCCGACTCTGACTCCGACTTAATTTAACTTGAACTTAGTATTGTTGATCAGAAATCTCAATGACTCTAAAAAGACCTTTCCAAGACTGGTTTCTCCACGCTCCAAACCCGGTTTTAGTTCCGAAACTGGAGCTTGTGCTGGTGACGGTGATGGTGATGCTGCAGGGGCTTCTGTAGTCGGCAGAACTCTTGGTCGACGCTGTGCTTCATATCCTATGATTCCAATCAGTCTTCTACCTTTGGTTCCTTCAACTTTCTCACCTGCCAAACACGAAGCAAAATAGATTACAACAATTTCAAAGCACGAAGAAATCCGAGAGTACAATAAAATGTTCACAATCTCAGTTCTCTTACCATTCGAGTCCAAGTAGGGTTTGGTAGTCTCGGAAAGAAAAACAAGCGTCGGGGTGATGACAGTAAGAGCAGCCCAGAAGAAGAATATCACAACATAGATTCTCCCGCTCATTTGTTGCCCGTCGGGGGTGGAACAGAGAGAAAAGCCGGTCTAATTAGCGAGACAGAATATTATGCTTCGACTCCAGGGTTTTAAGAGAAGAAATGGAATACAAAAAGAGAGACAAGAGAGAAGAAATAAGAAAGAGGATGGAGAAGAGACCTTGAACACTATTAGCTGGCCGTTGCATAAATAATTATGTGATTATAAAAAACTAACTTAATTAGACATGAATTGTTTGTCAAATTATTAACAACTACACTTCGTGATTTTGTTGTTCAGTTGGTGGAGGGTTGTTATACCAATTAGGTGCATGATTTGGACATCTACCTGGCATCCCCAAATACACCTGCTAATCATAACCCCGCTTGCTTAATAACTCGATTTAATTAATACCACGACAATAATATATACCCGAAACTTGGCATTCAGTAATTCAGCAGCAAGTAAAGCGGAAGAAGAACGAAAGTACAGGTAAATATCGAACAGGTTAGTGACAAGTGAGAATTATCAATTTATGCAAGTTTTCACGGCTCATTAAGTACTAATAGTAAGCAAATTATCCTAATAGTGAGCAAAATTCAAACATATCTATGAACTTTGCAAGTATTAACATGATAAAGTGTTCAGAAAAACTAAAAACATTCGAACACTGCACTTCTTTCGTTCACTGATTCGACCAAAGCTTCAGTCTGAGTTCGCTGCAGCACGTCTCTGCCCTGTATACCTCTGTAATAATCAAGGGGAACAAATCAAAATGTTGACCTTAAGGAAACTCCCAACATAAACAATTGGTCCTGCTTTAGGGAAAAAAGGTAAATGGTGGCTGAACAACAATCTAGACCTCTCACCTGTTTTCCGATGCTGAATGGTACATATTGTACTTAATCATGTGCATTATCTGGCGCTTCATTGTAAGAGCAAAAAGAACGATCCAATAACAGAGGAGAATGGGCCAGAAAACAGGGACGTCAAACGCGGAGAAGAAGGTCATCAGAAAGGCGATACAGAAAGCCTTTGTAATGGAATACCTAAAACCACACAAACAAGAGCATAAATTACTGAGTCTCAGTTAGCAGTCATAAAAACCTACTGAACACATACAAGCACGCATTAATTGCAATTACGTATATGTTACGGTAAACAACATGTTGTCAATGACTATTTTCAAATCGAGAAAGAAGAATCTCGACTGCTGAAGTCATTCACACAATCCTAACTTCCATTCAGTGCTATCAAGAGCTGCTTCATAAGAACCCCACTATCCTCCATATATTTTTCACTCCTATTGTCGATGAGGTGCCATCAGCGGAACCATGTTAATGCTAAAAGATCCTGTTGAGTTATCAAGCTTCTTATTAAGTTCACACTTCTACCATCCATACAAGTGTACAAATTTTAAAGCATACATACAAATAGCCAGAACCCCGCCTTCCTAAGCCCGGGGTTTTTTGGTATGATCTAATGTAGCAGTCATATAAGTGCTACTCAAACATTTAAATCAGCCACAACACCTACTTTAGAGCACACCCAAAAACCCATAGCAAGTACATATACAATGCAACTCTCACAATTCCACTAAGGAAGTTGTTCAATTACCAGAATTTGAACTCGGGAAGGCGGCGAATGAACGGCTTAAACTCATCGGAACCTCGGGTTGGCAGGGAAGCCCCGTCCGCTTCGAGCTCTGGATCAACCTTTGGTGACAGAAAACCAATCAACAGATTCAAGATATAGATTCCCAGGCCGTATGACACAATGTAGAACCCTTGAATATAGTAAACTCGGAGCACGTAAACCACCGCCACAGCAAGAGTCCCCAGCCACCTGTGAACCGGGTTCGGGGTCGACCGGTCCAAGTAGTACTGAAATGTCCTTGAAAATTCGTCTCTCCACTTCGCCAACGGCGCCACTGCCGACCCAGCATCGCCGCCCTCAACTCCTTCCATCAATATTTTCCTGAACATCCATCAAAAGCAATAGCCCAAATCAAAAGATTAGATTCTGTTTGGTTCCCGAGAAAATTAATCAGCCGATTCACCTCTAGAGAACTATTAATTCGGTCCTAACAATTCACATTTCTGGGGAATCAAAACCTAATAGTTTCACAAACCCAGTTTGGAATCAAACATCTTTCTAAGGAAAATAAATTTTTAAAAAAAAAAGGAATTTTTTTAATACTATATAATAAAAAAACCCAATAATTTAGTTCAGGAAAAATAGAAAAATAGGAACAAATCTTTACCTTGAAGAAAATTGAAGTGTGTTTTGGATCCGCTGAGAGAATCTAACTGTAATCCAAATTTCTAGCGGATCTGTGTGAATTTCGTAAGCTTATTTACTAGTTAATGTCGGTGCGATTGTTCGTTTCTTATCTGTTTCCTTTTTCCAGGAAAATCGAAATGAGGAAGAACGTCGCACGCTAGACCTCAATTGCGTGCGCGCGATTAAAGGCATCGAAACGCACAGCTTCGTGTTTGGCAAATTAACCGCGTCCTTTAAATGGCCTTTCGGCTTAGCGGTTAATTAAAGCCTTTCAACATGATTATTATTATCTTATGTTCAATTATCATCAAACGCGAATTTAAATTACATTATTACTAATATTTTATGAGGTAGAATCTCTCTTTAATATAATTAATATCATCTATTAGAAAAAAAATCATGATTGATCCTTTTTATTATGAAGCAAGAGGTATCCCATCACATTTCAAATGGACTATTTCTTCATCTGTCCTTATGAATATGAATTTGAATTTCCCTCTTAGTACATCTCTTTTATTGGGATATATGTCTTTCCGATCGGATTAATGAGACTCGAATGCTATTGACAATGAGTATACATAATTTTCATTACTAAAGAAATTTCTTTAGCCCACCTTAAATTAGGACACAAGTCAATCTAAACATTTGAATTATAGTTAATCAAGTTTGTTGGCTCCAATTAAATAGAAACCGGGGATGTTTTGGTAACTTCAGTTGCCGGGAAGGGAAAATTCTGTTATACCCTCCCATGGCTTTGGAATATGAGATATTCTACCCTACCCGGTCATTTGGGCCATTACCTTCGTTTTTCTCCGGCCTGCTTCAAATCACGTCAGAGAGTCGGAGAGGGTGGCAGTGAGCGGAGGAGCTGGTGGTAGCCGGCGGAGAAAGTGAGAAAAAGATGGGGACTTTAGGACGAGCAATATACACTGTCGGATTCTGGATTCGGGAGACGGGCCAGGCCATTGATCGCCTCGGCAGCAGCCTCCAGGGCAGCTACTACTTCAAAGAGCAGCGTAAGCCTAAGCCCTTTCTCTCGAACCCTAGATCCCATCTTTTCAGCTCAAGCTCTTAATTTCGAATTTGATTTATTTTGTATGATTTTGGTAATTTAGGGGCTGTTTGGTTCGCATTTCCTATTGATTTCGACATCGCAGCTGTTGAATTAGCATGAAGTCTAGGGCTTTGCTTTTCATTTGATTTGATGGGTAATTGTAGAATTAGATAGTGTGTTCTACTATTAGATTATTATCAACCCAACATTAATTTGATAAATTTGTTATATGGGCGTTCCTGGAAATCGTTAATATTTATCATTTACGTGAAATGAAGATTTTTGGAGCATTTCTGAGTATTGGAAGCAATTGGGTCTTCGTAAAGGTGGTAAATTGGTGGCCTTTCGGCGTGTTTGTAGTCAGTCGAGCCATAAGCTCAAAATTTTACGATTGAGGAGGGGGAGGAAATGAAGAAAACAAGAATGGAAAAATAAATATATGTCCACCCATTGGTAGTTTGGTTCACCTAATTTTGAAAAGCTAATACATTGTTCAGCAATCAGCATAGCACATTCTTAGTTTGAGTACATGGGCGATTCACGGTTTTTGGGTTTTGCTTTCATTTTCTGTGCATGAGGATGATGATTATGTTCTTTTCTGTAGTGTCTCAGCATAGAACTCTGATGAACGTATTCAATAAAGCTCCTGTGGTTGACAAGGATGTGTTTGTGGCGCCAAGTGCCTCCATCATTGGCGATGTTCAAGTGGGAAGAGGGTCTTCCATATGGTATGGATGTGTTTTAAGAGGTAAGAACTTCTTTTGAGACACAATAATATACGGATGTATGAATGATTTTCTAAGTACAATGGGGCCTTTTGGAAGAAAGGACGCTCATTTTATGATGCTTTATTTTAATTTTTTTTTCTTTTATCATTTTTGTTAAGAGGTCGCACTTGGTGCGATGGCAAGTGCCTTCGCCCATGAGCGGTAGGTCTCGGGTTCGAGACTTGGGAGCAGCCTCTCCATAAATGGGGGTAAGGCTAGCCGACATTCACCTCTCCCAGACCCTGATTAAAGCGGGAGCCTTGTGCACTGGGTACGACCTTTTTTTTTTTTATCATTTTTGTTGGTTAATGAACTGATGATTTGTTCTTGATGTTTTCCATATCTAGAACCTCTTTATTCTTCATCTGTTGTTAGATTTAGGGAGAACTAATATAAAGTCCCTCAAACTTTTTTTTTATCGAAAAACACTTGGACAACTTTTTTTATTATTAAGGACATTTGTTATATTACAAGGACCATAAAAAAAGAGAGTCACACTCTATGAGGGTTTTGAATAAAAAAATGTCTTGAATAATAAAAGAGGTGCCCTTAATGATAAAAAAAAAGTTGTTTTAAGAGTTTTTGAATAAAAAAATGTTTTGCGAGAGGCATTTTAAAATCCATGATATATCCAGATTCGTTTTTATTGTTACTGATGCACTTTGCAAAAACCATGGATTTCTTTTAATATCAAATGATCTTCACAGAAGTTGCGAGATAAAACTAGGAATAGTTATCACTTATCATATTTTCTTTTCCATTGTGTCATGTTTCTCACTGTATATGGAGCTTAGCTTGATAAGAGTAGTGCCTGAGTACTTGTAGTAGATTAGTTATCTGTTGAAAATCTGGTTTATTGTCAATATAGGTGAATATGAGCTGTATTTGTTTATGGAATCATGGATTTTGGTGATAATTTGTAAAACTGTATTTGTGCTAGGTGATGTGAACAACATCGTTGTTGGATATGGAACTAACATACAGGACAACTCCCTTGTTCATGTGGCGAAGTCAAATTTAAGTGGGAAGGTGTTACCAACCATTATTGGAGATAATGTTACTGTAGGTGAGTAAATGTGATGTCAAAGATGTGTTTAATTGGAACTTGGAGTCGGTCTGATAGTAGTTCAGATTAATATCCCACAAATTACGCAACAAAAATTTGCTTTGAGCAGGTCACAGTGCTGTTATACATGGCTGTACTGTTGAGGATGAGGCCTTTGTTGGCATGGGAGCCACACTTTTGGATGGCGTCGTCGTTGAGAAACATGCCATGGTAGCTGCTGGATCCCTGGTGAGACAGAATACAAAAATCCCCAGTGGAGAGGTATGTCTAAAAGCCCACATGCTGACCCTCTTTATCCTTGTATTTGCAAAGGATATTGGAAGTCTTAACAAGCATGCAAAAAGTAGCTGAGAATTTGAATCTATTGATTCAGAATCCAGATCACTGACCTAAAACATATTCGACGTTGTATTCAACGAAATACATAAAAGGTCGTACCCAGTGCACAAGGCTCCCGCTTTACGCAGGGTCTGGGAGAGGTGAATGTCGGCTAGCCTTACCCCCATTTATGGAGAGGCTGCTCCCAAGATTCAACGAAATACATAATTAAAAAAAACAGTTATTCCAAATATTTCTTATATCTCTATCTTCTTGATCTTTCTGGAAGTCAGAGAACTATATTAATGTGAATTCTATGAATTATGATTGTGCTTGGAATTGCATGTTAGGTTTCGGATTCAGCTTTATCTAGACCAGCTAAGTGAATCTTTCATTTCTGCAGTCCATGAACCGTCAACTGTGGTTGAAAACTTTGTTTCATTTTAGAGTAAGCAGTAAAATACATTTGTGTTACAGGTATGGGCAGGAAACCCAGCAAAATTTCTGAGAAAGCTCACAGATGAAGAAATAGCCTTCATCACCCAGTCAGCCACCAATTACACCAACCTTGCACAAGTCCATGCAGCTGAGAATGTGAAGTCGTTTGATGAGATTGAGTTTGAGAAGGCCCTCCGCAAGAAGTTTGCCCACAAGGATGAGGAGTATGACTCAATGCTAGGTGTCGTTCGTGAGATTCCCCCAGAACTTATTCTTCCCGATAATGTATTACCAGATAAAGCAGCAAAGGACCAAAAATGATTTCGTTAGTTGTTTAACTCAAATCTTGAGAGATTTGGGGCACCAAGAAATTTGTTAAGTACAAATACATGGAAAAGGTATCATTTCCTTTCCCAATAATAGCCGACTTGTTTTAAGGCAGAAGTATGAATCTTTTCCGGCCATCGGATCTCCTCTTTCTCGGCTTCTCAGAAACTGCATTTTCTGCTTCGGCGGTTTGTATGTTTGATGAAGGGTTTTTTCGTATCCAAAGGTACCTAATTTCTCCATTTGTAGTTGATTTGTATATTCATCTGCCTATTCATACCAAGGTATAGCATGACACATCTCTCTTGTCTATTTGTTTTGTCATTGCACTCAAATACAAGACGGGAAACATCGTATGCATCACGCTCTGTGGTCGATGGGGATGGTGATCGTCCATGTTTCCATGTGGGGTGGATTCAAGTTTGCACCTTAGATGATCTTCATCGTCAAGCACGAACCGTGCTGGGAAAATTCTACAGTCCGACCATCGGACCACGGATGCGGCCTGACATACACCGGCAGGGATCCTGCATTGCGTTCTATCTGTCGCCCTGCTTATTGGGAGAGACGCCGTATGCGGCCATATGTTAAAGACTTTTTCCATGTGCTGGGCAGCTGAAGCTCTAATCCCAGCCTACTGGCCTATGCATTAAATCAGGCATAGTAAAAGAAAGCTTTACGACAAAATACATGACATGGTTTTTTGCATGAATGGTGCACGGGCGAGATTTGAGCCGTTATATTTGCATAAACTTTGGTGTCAACATGACACGGTGACAATTGAGAGAAATTTAAGGAGCATATTTTTTTAAATTCTTTTTTTGAACAAACGATACTATCTACATTAAAAATGTGATTTACGCAAAGAGTCGTTTCTATTTTCTTTTTAGAAACTTGGAAACGTGAAATCCAACTGTTACAGCGCAGAAGGAGAAAATGAAATATAAAACCTAGCATCTTAAAATTTTTAGTATTTTATGAACACGATAGAATCTTTTCCAAAACAATTATTGGCCAATCGGAATCTTAGAAAGCTGAAATCTCCGTGTTTTCAGCAGGAAAACATAGAAAAAGTAGTCCCACCAATCATTCAAAGAATCAAACCCTACCCTATAAACCTCTCCTCTACATGCCCTACCATTTATTTTCCTCCAATTAATTTTCGCCTTTAATCATCGAAAGTGCAGTTTGTTTCTTCATATTTTTTGTTTGTGATAAAGTTGATTATAACATAATTATTTGATGAGGATCTGCAACTTGCAAGTTGCAACTGCGCCTCCTGCTCTCTTTGCAGTGTATATAAATACACGACACACCACAAGCCGAAGCGTGCAGACGGTGAGAGGGAGCAGAGTCCCAATTCCCAAAGAGCCAGAGGGGCCAGGAAAATGGGTGCAGAAGCCTTGACCGCCACCGGCAACTCCACCGCGCGAGAGGCTCCTCTGGTACTGGGACTACAGGCTTCCGCCCTCGTCGACCATGTTGCCCGCGTCGACTGGTCCCTGCTCGATCAACTCCCCGGCGAGCGTGGTGGCTCCATTCCTGTAAACCCCTTTTGACTTCATAGCTTCTTCTTGCTTTTTCCTGTTTTTTGCTACTTGGGTTTCGTAAATTTTGGTGCTTTTGATTGATTTATGCAATTTGGAATCATGGATTTTGTTATTGTTGCTCAATTCAATCAGAATGTTGAAGACTTCAGCTTTTGGGACATATTTTCTGGTGTAGGTTGCAATTGAAGAGCTTGAGCATATATTGAGTGAGGTGAAACCCCATGTAATTTCATATCCTGATGATTCCTTGCCAATGAAAACCATAGCCGGCGGCAGTGTGGCCAATACAATCAGAGGGCTGAGTGCCGGTTTCGGAGTCTCCTGTGGGATAATTGGTGCCTGTGGAGATGATGAGCAAGGCCAGTTATTTGTCAGTAACATGAGCTCTCATGCTGTGAACCTCTCTAGATTGAGGATGAAGAAGGGACCCACAGCTCAGGTGATTACTTAGCTTCATTTCCTTTTTTTTGGGGGGTTTTCAGATTGAGTTTGTAGATGCTGAGTGCTGAAGCTTTGTTGGTAATTTGGTGTGGTGCAGTGTGTTTGCTTGGTGGATGCGTTGGGCAACCGGACAATGCGTCCTTGTCTCTCAAGTGCTGTGAAACTTCAGTCTCAGGTGCATGCCTCTGTTTAGATGCCCATATGCATACGTATCTGCGTGTCTGTGTGCATGTGTGTGTGTTGTGTGCTTGAGCTGTCAGTGTTTTGCTAACTTCTTCGATTGAGCTGACAAAGAATAGAATTATGTTATCCAGGCCGATGACTTGACGAGAGCAGACTTTAAGGGCTCTAAGGTAAGTGTCTTCTATACTTTCTCCAACAAAGTGTAGTGTCATAATGCGCTTTAGGCGGTACCATGTGTGAAACTTAGACGCAGACGGTATGATTTAAATAGTTGAAAGGGTTTTGTAGATGTAAATGCTGATATCTCTTTTCTTTCAGTGGCTGTTGTTGAGGTATGGTATCATCAATTTGGAAGTGATTCAAGCAGCTATATCAATTGCGAAACAAGAGGGTCTTTTTGTGTCCTTAGACTTGGCCAGTTTTGAGGTACAAGAATTTTTCTTCAGAATCTTTCATTTGGAGGATGGGATTTGTCCAAATTTGCTGTCAAAGCAAGTTGATATCCTACTCATGACTTATTTATGGTCCCTGCGTAAAGCGGGAGCCTTGTGCACTGGGTACGATCTTTATTCTGGAGACGGCATTATCTTGTGTCGTAACGCTCTCACCCCATAAATAAGTCATGAGTAGGATATCAACTTGCTTTGACAGCAAATTTGGACAAATCCCATCCTCCAAATGAGTGACAAAAATTTCATTAGAGTGTAGCAACCCCCATACAATTTTCAACTGAAAGGCTAATCCCTTTCCAACTCCCACTGCATTTCTCTGCATGTAACTAAAGAAAACTAATAAGGCTGCAAGTGCTTTGGTGTAGAATCTTGAGTTTTTATTTGCAAGCAAAGTGAAAATACATAGTTCTGTTTCTTATCTTTGTTTTCTTATTTCGGCTTTTGATATCAAGTTTCAGATCTCTATAGATTATCTTATATAGTCTTAAACATTACTCAGATGGTTCGCAACTTTAGATCGCCTCTTCTACAGCTGCTGGAGTCAGGGGACATAGACCTCTGCTTCGCCAATGAGGATGAAGCAACAGAGTTGCTAAGGTGACTTTCATTTGGTTGGAATTGTAACATGTTAAAACTGTTAACCCCAATTTTGATGAAATAAAGTTGACTCTTCTTTTCTTCCATTTCGGTAGATTTTTCTTTCTTTTTCTACCAGACTGGTAATGTGGTGTTAAATTCTCTTGTAGAGGTTCCGAGGGTGAACAGAAGGCTGATCCCGATGTTGCACTTGAGTTTCTGGCAAAACACTGCCGCTGGGCTGTGGTGACGTTAGGCTCCAACGGATGTATAGCAAAGCACGGAAAAGAGGTAGGAACCTTAGTAAGATTCAACCCCGTGTTACTTGATCTTGATCATCGATGTATCTTCTGAATTTTTTGTTTTGATATGTCAGATTGTGCGAGTTCCAGCCATAGGGAAAGCCAATGCAGTAGACGCCACAGGAGCAGGAGACTTGTTTGCGAGTGGGTTTTTGTATGGACTGGTGAAGGGATTATCTCTGGAGGAGTGCTGCAAAGTAGGATCTTGCAGTGGCGGATCTGTTATTCGATCTCTCGGGGGTGAAGTCACCCCCGAGAACTGGCAATGGATGTATAAGCAGATGCAGACTAGAGGCCTCACTCTTCCTCATGTCCCCAAATGATTTTTTGTGTTACTATGTTATCAGAACAGCGATTGTTTCGAAGTCCATGGCTACTGGCCTACTATACATCTTTTCGAAAGCGAAGGGTAAGGGTATCTATGGTTGCACTTGAAGCTGACTTAACGACGGCATACGATTACGATGGAAGAACATCAGGAAGAGGAACCTGAACAGTTTTTTAGGCTTTTCTTGTAACTCTTGTTTTTGCTTTTGGTTTAAACCTGCAATCCTGAATAATTATGTGTTGATTTACTACATGTTTTTGCAAGTTTTTACTTGTTATTATGGAAGTTGTAGTGTCGTTGTCTTTCTTTCAATTCAATCGATGTCGTCCTCATTCTATTACGCTGCACATCAATGTTGTTTCCGATGCGTCTCGTTTTCCATTAAAATTGAACCAACTGTTTAAATAGGGATGGTAATTTTAACCGTTAAACAGATTAAGCAACCACTTAACGACTAAACTCCCTCTACGATGTGACGCAAGTGGTAATAAAAAACAGAACTTCGCTCTAAAAGCTTGTGGATGCACAAAATATATGAAGTCCATCGTTTTCCACTTAAGTTGCATAACTTGCAAGATTTTATCCACTTTCTAACGTTAAAATATCACAAGCACAACACAGACAGTAAACGATTCAATAAAAATCGAGTTTTCCGACAGCAATAAGGTTCAATAACTGTATCGTAACGGTAAACATTGAATGTAAAGTCGATCTAACCAGAAGCCACTTTCAAAATGTTTATAAGAGAAGAAAAAGAAACGGCAAATGTTCACCAGAAGATTGTAATCTTCTCCAATACCATCCATACTCTTAAGAACCACATACTGCAAGAAAACCTCATTGAAGGGATGGAAAGACAACTGCTTCTATCTATCATCCTCAGATATCCATGGGAGCTACATCCGGTTCGGGAACTGCTGCCTGGTCAGCGCCAGCGCCAGCGCCAGCGCCAGAGCCCTCACCCTCTTCTGCAGCTGCAGCAGGCTCAGCACCAGCATCGGGTTCAGCAGCAGGAGCCTCATCCTGCACAATCTCAAATGCATCAATCAACTTCTGGACGGTGTCCTGATCCAATATATGGAATGGCTCCCCAACTCCAACCACAGCAATTGTGCATATGGAACTTCTCAGTTTTTCTCCCTGCAAGGTTTCCCTTGTTGCAATGAGGGCATCCTTGATCAGATCCTCCCTTGTAGAGCCTGTGAAATTCTCAAACCTGCGTTCCAAGTATGTCTTTGCAGCTTGTGAGCGAGACCCTATTGCAAAAGCCTGGTATTCGAAGTAGTTTCCACTTGGGCAGTTGTAATACAGGTGAGCTCCAGACTCATCCAACCCACCTACTAATAGTCCAACTCCATACGGTCGCTTCCATGAGCGTTGGGTACAGACCTGTCATCCACAGGGTAAATAATTAAAATACCAAAAAGGTCTCTCCAAATGGATGTTCAACAGACACTGGTAGTTGTATACATGGAGGAGGATAACTGATAAGAGAGACCAAATATAAATACTGAAGAGGCATCAGTAAGTTTGTTTGCTTTTTTGTGGCAGTTTTGCAAAGTTTAGCTTCTACGAAACGGTAGAATTCAGGAGACAGACAGATTCAACATCTAATAATACCAAAACCCCATCCTTAATCTAGAGTCCATCACTCCAACTCACTTCTACGGTCACTGAAATCATATTGTGATGAACTACAGATGATATGATTGGTAAGAATGAGCTCCTTAATCACAACAAGAAACATCACCATTCTACTGAATCCATACACTAGTATTTCCACAAAATTGTGAAATGAAGGAATAAGAATATGCAGATATTCTCATCTTTTAGGGAAAGAGAAACCTCTGTATATCAAGTCGAAAACAAATTCAACTACGAGATTGAAAGATAAATGAATATGCACAGGTGAGTGTATGCACAAAGAGAGGGGGGAGGAGAAATTTCTTATCTCAGAATTCAGTCTGCAATGCAAATAAAATACATTTGTTATAAATTGTATTATACATAAATTCGTTCACGATACACAGAAGAATAAAACTCTGAATGTTTATGCAACTACCTACAAACAGTAGCTATTAGCGTAAAACAACAAGCCAACTACTAATTACACAAGCAATGGGTTCCAGAAACAAATACGAAAATATGAGACCCTGTTCAATCCAATCACTTTCATACTTTCCTTTCCTACGCAAGTCCTTTCTACATGGTGCCAACATTTTATTGAAGCGCATAATGTACATGTATACCACATATATCTGAGGTCTCAATTGCAAATCCTTATTTTCTTTTTCAGTTCTCACTCATTAGTTTAGTCAGCTTGGTTATTTAGAGACGAAAACAGAAAAAGTGCATGCCAATTGTTTCAAGATGATTCTGAAATACCATGATTCAGCATGACATATATTCAAAGAATAGTTTCATTCTTCACAAGTCAAATTTTGCATTAATTTCCCAAACCAAACAACACACTTTCGAATAAAAGGTCAAAGTTCTTCATGGTCACAAGAATTCCTACACTACCGGTTATACAAAAGTCCAACCCAATCCAAACCCAAATAGCTTATCTTATCACGCTCGAAAACTTGACCATATGCTACTCAGATAAACTTAAAAAGCAAACGAAATAATAAAATGTGATCCTTGAGTTGTTTGATATGCATTGAGAACTTCGACAGAAGGGAACCCTAAGCAGCTAACTCTGGTTAAAACCCTAGTTGTTGAGTCTTAACAACCCAATTTCTTTCTCAGGGGATCTAATTTTGGTTTCCAGTAAGATAACAACAATCCTACCACTTGATTGAGTTGAAGGAAGTCTACAATTCTACTAGAACAGGTAAAACACCGAAATCGAACACCAATTTTGCATCTTTAACCGTCAATTTTCTCAGAAACCTCCAGAAAATTAAGAATTTCCAACTACCACCTCCAGCAAAACCCTAAATCCCCAATTCCCCGATCCAATAAGCACAAGTCACAAAACCCACTCACAAAAAAAAAAAAAAAATAGGGGTACTGCTACGCGACGCACCTGAGCCTTATCGGCGAGCTGAACCACGAGTCGCCCGACGGGGAGCGGGGACTCATAGGTGTAATTGTAGTTAATGGCCTCCGATCGCATGTACCGGGAGAGGACACGGCCGTCGGCTGTAAGCCCAGCAATGGCGACGCCGATGTGGTCGTCCACCTTGAAGATCTTCTTCTGGTGGGAAGAGAGCTCGGAGTTGGCCTTGTTAACGCAGGCGAGGACAACGTGGGTTTTGGATCGGAGCCCAATGGCGGCGGAGCCTTGCTTGACGGCCTCCATCGCGTACTCCACCTGGAAGAGCCGCCCGGCGGGGCTCCACGTCGTCACGTCGGTGTCGTATTGGTTCCTGAACATCTTTACAGCGTCGTTTTTTGTTTCTCTCTCTAAGAAGAAATCACAGCTCTCTCTCTCGGTGAAGCTGTGAGGATTTTTGTTGGGGTTTTCTTTTTGTTCAAGCAAGTGAGACACCGACGCTCTCTCTCTGAGACGAACCGGGAGAGGGTTTTTTTTGTGCTTTCCTTTTCTCCTTGCAAGTAATTGGTAAATTAATTGGTAAATAATGAAAAGAAAAGAAGATGATTTTTTTTAACAAGTTTTAACAAAATACTTTCGATATTATTTATTTTTATTGAAAAAAATATTTTTACTCTAAAAAATCACTTCTGACACTATTTACATGCAACATATTTTTGTCATTTTGATTAAAACTCAAAATTTTCAAATTATTTCTATTAGTTTTCTTTTTTTTTATCGAGAATTAAAATGTTTAGGTCTGAGTCCAGGTGGCTTATTGGGCCTATGACCCAATATTTGGTCTATGGATTGTTGCGTTGACTATAAATCTAAGAAAAAGTCTAGTCCATGGAATTGGACTTTGAGCCCAAAATGTAATTGAACATGGTCTACCAGTCCATTATATATGGTAAGCAGTGGTTGGAACATAGCACTAGTCGGCTGCATAGGCTCTAGGCGGTGGCTAACAACCGCAATTTTGTCATAGGCGAGAATCGAAAAAGGACTAGACGGGGTTAGGTGGGAATAGCTGGGGCTAGACTGGAGTAGGCGGAAATGGGCTGGCTTATGTGGAGAACTGAATCTGAAAAACTTTTAGTTGCAGAGCCAATGACAGACTAGCGAAGAAGATAATGATTTGCCTTGATATTATCTAAACCTAGACGGCGTCATTTCTCTCTCAGACTTATCGTTTTGTATCCTTTTTTCCTCTCTAGATGAACCCTACCATCTACCTCTTTGTCGACCTTTTGTTTTTTATACTTTTTCTTAATTATTTAACGTTTTATTTTCTTTTAGTTGAAAATCAGAGTACGCAATTAACTAACATAATATAAAACTTTATACAACAAAAGAACTACAGAATTGTCAAGAATACTACACAAACCGAAAAGACTACTTCTTGATTGAATAGTTCTCAATTGATTAACAAGCATCCCATTTATATAAAACTAACTCTAATCTCTAAATGAAAATCAAATTTTAGCGGGATGGGTCCAGGCCTAGGCCTCCCCGCCTAGACCTCTAGGCACTAGGCTCCTTCCTGCCATTCGACTACCGCCTAATGACTCTTAAAACATTGTGTTAATGTTTTATTTCATTTTTTTTCGGAAATATGAGAAAAACTTTCATGCAACAAAGGAAAATTTTTATTAAGGCTGAGTGTGCCACCCTCACACGTCCGTTCAAGACCCTCGCCACATGTTCTAACTCTGTCATATTAAGTTGCATACAAATTCCTCCATCGTAAGAGAATAACTTATATTTAATTAGTGTATATCCGAATATTTTTACATGATGCATGATAAACAAAGGTCGAAATATAGAGCCGATGATAGCCAAGTTATTCTCCCAGTTAGGGTATTTGTGAAATTCCATCGACAAATTAAAGCATGTTCAACAACGCTGTTCGTAGACAGACACTAAGCTAAAGAGAAAATCGAAAGAGGAAAAGGGGGGGAATCTTTTTTTCTCTTTCTATATACCAATTTGCCTCGTGATCATCACATTGATCTTTATGCTTATTTCATGTTATCGTTGAGCCTCTAAGATATTCCATAGATTCCCCCCAAAAGGCATGTCTCCTCTGTCACTCAGTTCAAGGCTGATTATGTTACTTTACTTGTCGTCCTCGCAGAAATGTTACTTGTAACTTTTGCACATGGAACTGCATGTGTGAGCAATGGGCATATATAGATGAATGATGTGCCTTTGCTCCTCAGGTAATCCTCTTTCTATTTCGAGAAGCTTGGGGTAATGTTTTCTTAACTTTAACCTAATTGGAGCAGTGATCATTCAACTACAAGTTTGTGATCATTGGTCTCATAACTGATCAAAACGTGCAGTTATGATTATTTTCATCAACTATGTTAAAACTTTCGTCAAAATGAGTTATGGTGGAATGATCATTGTTACAATTAAGTTAAAGTTGAGGGATCATAGCTCCAATGGGTTAAGTTGAGGAGTTGTTGCTCCGATTGGGTTTAAATTGAGGGATCGTTGCTCTAATTGAGTTTAAATTGAGGGATCATTGCTACAATTAAGTTAAAATTAATGGACCATTACTCCAATTTGGTTGAAATGTAGGGACTACTACTCCAATCGTGTGGCACGTGACTCATTTTGATGAAGTTTTGACAGAGTTGACGAAAACGACTATAGTTGCACTTTTTTATCGGTTAAGGGACCAATGGTCACATATTTTTAATTGAGGGATCATTACGCCAATTGGATTAAAGTTGATGGACAATTGTTACAATTTCCTCTTCTATTTCTCCTGCATTTTATTCATTTTGCGTATTTTACACACTATGTTCTTTTTCAATTTGCGCACTTGTCTCTTACAGTGTTTGTTTTGGATATCAAAAGTATGTAGATAAATCAGACTTACAATAAATAAAAATTAGTTTTTAAAATGAAAAATTAAAAAGGCGTCATTTTAGTTACTTGAAAACAGCTTTAGATAATAATAAAATGCAACTCAAAATACTAAAAGCAATTGTTCATAGTACAACTTTGCTTATTGAAGCAAAAAACGCGTGAATCGGTTAGATCACACGTTCGACATTAGTCACATTTCAGCCTTTCTTTGGTCATAAGTTTGGTTTCCACACTAGCAGCTGGTTTCGAATCCGTGATCTTCAATTTTTAGTTTGAAAGAAGTCTCACAATTCATCTTTTACCATTGGACTACTAGCTCGTGGTTTGTTAATCGTGTATTTCATGCAAGGCTTTGGAAGAAAAAAAACGACCGTAAGGTTGCAGTCACATTAAAAAAATGGCGTGTACTTCTTCAACTACAACAAGAACATGTGCAAGCAACTGTTGGGTTATAGTCACATTCAAATAAATACCATCCAGCTTATGGACCCATTTTCCCATTCCTCTTGTAGTATAATCGCTTTCAGAATAAGTGCTCTTTATGCTCAATTGTGGAGTACTTGTGGACCTAAAACAATATTATTTATTTCATTTCAATATTTGAATTATTGAGAGTTTTTTCTTTTCCTTTTCGACTGATATTATTGGGAGCTGTATCGAATTATAGGTACTCAAATGTGAATAATTATGAATTTGAATAAAAAATGGAAGTACTAATCACATATCCATTTTTACTTTTTATATATTCTTGTTAATTTTTGTGCATTTATCCTCTTCAGTTCACTCGATCAGACAATTGAAAATTAAGAAGAGTGTGTGCTAGAGGTAAAATGAGTTTGTGGTTTAATTTATAGTTTTTATATTTATTTTTCAAGTAATTAAGTGTAGGGGTAAATTGCCACTTAGTATTACGGTCTGATGATATTCCTCTTCACTTATAAATGAGAGGTCTTAGGTTCGAGTCTCGCCATTTTATTGTTAACTCATTATAAGACTTAGCCCATCATCCCTTAGTAAAAAAAAATTGTAGGGGTAAGTACATTATTAAGGAGTGGAGTGAAAGCAAATTATAATTTCGGAGGGTCCCTATGTTATTTATCAAATTATAATGTTATTATTTCCTAAATTAGCCTTTATTATTGTTTATTTTTATTTTTATAAATTTAGGAACTAAATAAGTGTCAATGTGCCAAAAATTAACTACGTCCTTTGAAAGCATGCAATATCTAAGATGTCGAGTTTAATTTTTCTCCTATATAATCTCAAGTATAATTCTCCCTCCCGCCTCTCGCTTTTGTTAGAAAAACGAATAATAGTTTTTATTTATTTTTACTATATACAAGCAAATGTCACCATTTATGTTCCTGTTCTTTTCGCTGAGAACGTTTCTTCGCGTTTAATTGCTCAATTTTATGTGCCACTTGCCATTCATCAGAGCTCGTGTCACGCGGTTGTCTGTCACCTTCCAAAACCACCCTGAATTTTATCATATTCCCAAATTGGAAATAGATCTTATTTGGATCTCTTTTACTAAGATTTCATCAGATCAAGTGATCTGGACTTTTCAAATTTTATTCAACTGTCCATTTGTTTTGATTTTTTAAAAGTTGTGATAATTTTTTGTTCTTAAATAAAATTTAAAAGGTCTACATCACTTGATCCGGTGACATTGACGAAAATGACTGACTGGGGCAGATTTTACACTGACGCGTCGGATTTGGAAGAGCTTACCACGCAACACGACAGCACAAACAGGACAGCCAGTCGATAAAAAGGCAGAGTCAAGCTCACAGTCCTCACTCACCGGCTACCGCCGGTCACCTTCCCCGATATTTTGCTCAAAAAATCGGCGATTTATTCATTTTCCGTACTCTGACAGTTAGACCGCATAACAATGTTTTCCCGGAAAATCCTCTCATAGTTTCATCTCTCTCACGGTCTTACTGTAGACTTTGCTCCAAACACTGAGAGCAGGAGGAAGAAGAAGCAAAACGCAGCGCAGCGCGTACTTCCAGTCCATCAATGGAGTTCCAAGCTTCATCCGTGGCGCTTTCTCAGAAGCTCTCCAGCGGTCACTCCATATACGACGGCGTTTTCTCCTCTGCAGCTGCATCCAAGTTCAATGTCTCGACTTTCTCCTCCCGAGTCGACGATTACAGCGAGATTTTCGGCGGTTCCGGAGCTTCCCGCGGCGGCTCTTCGATTCCGGTGCTTGAGGTTCCGGAGCTCCATGAGCGGAAGGCTTCGGTGGATGTTCGGAGCTCGAAGCTGGACTACTCTAACGTCTTCGGTGGATTTGGAGATTCGAATTTCGCAGTGCCGTATGAGGAGCTCTTTGCGGAGCCAAAGAAGAAGGAAAGAAGGTACATTTACACTGCACTCCCTGAGAATGCACAATTTTACTTGTTTTTTGAGTATGCAAGTTCGTATTTTATAAGCTGGCATGGGAAATTAGTAATTTTTGATAATTTAGATAGATCGTTCTTTGCAATTTCAGTTCGATTTTTATAATTTTGAGTAGTACTATCTGTTGCTGGGTAGTAAATTGCAGTTGAAATTCAACCGTTAAAAAGTTCCTTCTTTGTTTGGATTACGAGAAATTGTCTAGATGTTAAAATTCGAGCACGAATC